TATTAAGACAACATAGGCGCTGCTCGCCGCTCTCGGCGCAAGCGCGCAGTAAACCTGATGCAGTGAGCCTCTGGCGGTGATAGCACGAAGGACTGAGCTTTGCGACGACACGCGAGACACGTGGAACGAAGCACGTGACCAACGCGCTGATGTCTACGGCGCGAACGCAGCTCATAGACACCACGCCATGACTTTGGCTGTACTTGAAGGTCAGGTTCTCAGAAGGAGGCGTTTTCAGGGTCTCTAACTTGTAACTCGAAAAATCACTGCCGTTGAGCGGCCGTGAACAAAATATTCGCAGCATATGTCACACTCCATCCCTGCAACATTTGGAGGTGAAATGTCTGCTGCATGCTTGGTGATTCATTAGACTTCCCGCAACAAGCAGCACTGAGAGATAAGGATCGGAACTATACCCTGACGTCCGAAGTGAACGGCAGCGCGTTCAAGAGTGACGAATAGAGAATGACAACAGGCCCGTGTTGTACACGCAATAGTTCACTTGTGATTACGCTATTCCAACTGACAAACGTCGTTCCCTTTTTATACCTTGGCGTTATCAGTCAGTCGCGGTGTTCCTCTACCCTGCACTGACGGTCTCGCGGCATCTGACGTGGTGCAGCAACAACTCCGCAATCGGCCCACCTGTGACGGATCGACGATGTCAGTTGATGACGTCATCCTGTGACGTCACGAGGGCGATAAGATTAGGTCACGGTATTGTGACGTCATCACTGGTTTCTCTGGTCGGGGCCCGATAAAGTTCTGAGATGTATTGCAATGAATCGCGGAGGGGAGCGTCGGCATAGCCGCTATAGCTTTCGCCCGAGTAAACATTTCTCGAAACTTCGAGCCGCATTCGAAGTAGAGGCCATCCTCGCCGGACGACGAGTGCCTAGCCGTGGTAAAAGTTAGCCTACACACATCGGTGGGCGACCTGCGGTACTCGGAATGTTCCTGCCGCATCGGAGGCACTTGACCAGTGCTGCGGTTCAGCGAACTTACGGGCAGCACGCTGTGGCCGACCTCCTCGCAGGCGGCGCCGCTGTGATGCCGCAGGTGCGTCTATCGCTGGCGGCCTTATATAATACGCCCAGCCGCCGGCTCCCCACGAATTTATGCGTCTGGTGAACGAGTGTGCTCCTCGATGCGATCGACAGGTTGGAGAGGGGTATTGGACTGCACTCGACTCGCGGGTTGCGTGCTGTTGACCGACATGTGCACGAAGAGGCGTTCCCATATGCACTTGCTTGCCATGCCACACCTGCAGTTGCCCCAACCACAATCATAGGTAGATGTATCTGAAGTGTTTAGGGCAGATTTTTTTTAAGACGGGACAACACGAAGGGGCGAAACGTACACAAGAGCTAACTGACATATTTGAATCTGCGCGCGTGTTTCTCCTGCGTCTTAACCCGTCTTGAGAAATCCGCTCTAAACACCCCTTATGTCGTTAGTCGCGGAGCGTTGCCAACGGGAGATTCACTCTGCATCCCTGTTTTTATTGTGATAGCAATTATATGGACACCCTCGGCTGCATTGTGCCGCCAGGATCAGCCGTCATTCACCGTATGTATCAGTATCATCATTCATCACTACACTATACATATTAAAATGCAAGAAAGAAAAGTAATCAATAAATAGCCACAGCTTTGCCGCAAATGGGAAGGAATGAAAGCGATAGCAACAAATGGGAAGGCCACGCGCAGAATGGCAAGGAGATCGAAATCTGCCCCTCTTTTTTCACGCACAAATGACGCACGAAACGTACTCACAGGTACAGATGAACGCGAATTACCGTTTCAGTCGTTACTTCACTGTGTCTGAAAAGCGTGCTCTTTACGCAAACGGAGGCTGTGCAACGATTTGCAGTGACCTTTGTGCGCCCAGTAACTATGTGACAGAATCGTTCCGGTCAAATCCCAAGACCAACCAAGGCGTACGATTCTCCCTACAGTGAGATAAGGGCGCGCGAGCGAGCGTCCATCACCCTCCTCTCCGTGGGGCATAGTACGCATGAGAGATGAGAGCGCGCCACCGGCTTCATAGAGTTTTCTAATATACACTAGAGGGAACTCTGGCGCTAGTGTCTATGGGAGCTGCAACGCACGGCGCTTCAGCGAGCATGGGAATAATGAGTAGTACACACATTTGTCTAATCTTCGTACTTCTGGCCTGCTTTTGGCTCCGTGTGTGTTTGTGTGGCTTAGAGCTGTTTTCTTACGAAACAAATATTAGCAAATGTTCAGCGGTTGCGCTTCACTATCTTATTCCTTTAGACTTACCGTTCCAAATCGGGTCACGAAGTTCAAAAGGGCTGAATCTTTCTTTGAAAACAAAACCGAAACGCAGCAATAAGCAAAGCCGCAAGTACGATTCGCCGCCCGCAAGTACGAAGACTATAGGCAAATGTGTGTGCTACCCATCATTTCCATGGCCGCTGAACGATCGCAGCGCCAGAGTCCCCTCTAGTTAATTTTAGGAAACTCTGTGGCCGCCTTGGGACGATGTGGCGGTGCGCGCTCATGGCGCCAGCTTGCTGGTAATGCTGAAAACATGATAGTTCCCCCCGAGATGCCCGTCAAAAGTGGTAAGTGGTAGGTATAAATATCTTGCCGCTCGAACGTCGAAGGACGTACCTCTCCGTGGCACAGTCGTTAATGCTTCCCACAGGCTTTTCAGAAGTCACAAGTTTGATTCCGCGCGCCGGAGTCTTTTTCTAGATTATTTTTCTTTCTTGCGTTTTTGTATATATATATAGATACGTATACATATACGGTGAGTGACGTAGACGCCGGCGCGAGCTGCAAAATCCAGCTGAGAGTGCCCATATAATTGCTAATGCAATAAAAACACTCGGGTGCGTGGAATGGAACGTCCGACATTTCGTTCGTGAGCGCGCGTCGTTAGCCTCTGAGCCACAAAGGAGCACCTCCTCACCGACTTGCGCACGATTTCTGTAGCCTCTCACTCGTATGTCGTGATATCCGCTGTTAACGCAACTCGTCGGATTCGAAATTTGTAAAGTTATTATTTTTAACCTGTAACGAATAGCCTCTGATTCTCCCTTTCTCTCTCTCTCTCAGATATGTACGATTGATAGCCGACTATACGAGAGAAAAGAACGAAGCAAGCAGCTCGAGTAGCGTTTTTTTTTTAATACAATAATAATGTTTTCCTGTTTCATCTTCTTCAATTAGACAGTTCTAAGCTTTCATTAAAATTGTATTGTGAAAATCCCACGTAGTTGGGAATCGAGGTTATGCGAAGCACGTGGATGGGAAGAGTCTGTGTTGCAATTTTGTATTGAGCTAAACGTTATGAAGTGGCGCTGAAGATATTTACAAGTGCACGCGCAGATATACGTTAATCAGCCGCATATTGAGAACGCGGGCTTTTTCGACTGATTCTCGATACTCCCCAACGGTACTCCCCAGCGGTACCTTGCGCCCGTGGCGAGCGCTTACCTTTCATTGCCCCTTCCGTACGCTAGGCCGAAAAGCGGTGCGATGTGTTCGCGCGTGGTCTTACTACCCGTATTTCTCGAAACCAACACAAGCGGAGTTTGCCCTCGTTCGAGCGATCGGGCGCTGTTGTCACTGATCGTGAGAGCGTGCTGCATTGTCACGAGGGCCTGTTTCCTTCAGCGGAGTGTCGCCGTGAACCCTTTTGCCCACGGAGACGTGCTCGTGGCACCCTTTGTGTTGTACTTTTGGCCCGTGGCGTGGATAAGCCTCGTTTACTTTCCTGCCGCCCTTTTCAACGGTCGCTGTACTGCGTTTTTGATGTTGCCCCAAGCAATTAATTTGTTGCGACTTGTTTGAGAGCAGTACTGTGTATACTTTCCACGCTGCGTTCGGTGCCTGGCTGTTCGATCGAAGGCTCGTGAGCAGATGCGTTACAAGCGAGGCGACGGTTAAAGGGGCCCCGTTGCTCGCCAAGACCGAACCACGGTGCAAGAATACACCATGGCCCGAACCCACGCTATAGTGGCCGTACTCCTTCGGGATACGTGAGGCCACAACACCCGCATCTTCCCACGGGGGGAACACGAGTAAATGCGTCGCAGAGTGGTGGGGTTGTCGCGTGAAAGTTGTGTATAATTGGGTATGCATGGGTAAGATGGTTGGGTGTTCAGCAGGTGCTTTAACCTTGCTCGGGTGGCTTAATAGCATGACACAGACAGACCAAAAATATCGGTGTTCAAGTATCCCAAGTATCGCCTTGAATAGAAAGCTACAGCACCACAACAGCGGCAAAGCGCCAACGCCAAAAAACTACCTTGGAGTTGAAGCCGCAGCAAGCGGCGGCTAAATGTTCTGTGGAAATGTTATTGATATGTCTGCGGCAATATATTTTTTAAACATACACCAAAAGCGTTGTCTACCGGAGGTGAAGACATTGACACATGCGCGGGTGGGCAATGCCACGGGTGATTTACGGTAACACCGAACGATCACCAGTGCTGCGCCCACTCGTCATGATTCACCTCGTGGATACACGAGGATTTTATTTTTTAAGGTGTCATCCAAAATGGCCACTTGCGAATGACATGCTGACTGACCTAAACGCGCTACCGTGAAACCAACTGCAAAAGAGTGTTTTGAAGACGACCTACAGTTTGAAGGTGACGCTATTGCTAGCAAGCAGAGGAAAAACGGGACCGACCAAGTCGACGGTTGTTAGTTACTTCGACTCTTAGCCTCGTTTCCGCGATGTTTTCACGTAGTATCATGTACAAAATGCGAATTTGCAACTTTATCGACCACATGGTAGTGTTCTGTGGTATTAGCGGTGGTGATGCAGACGACACATGAGTTTCGCAAACTTATAGCAAAGATAAAAATTAAAAAAAAACTCGTTTAAATTTCATCTTTTTACGTGTAGCCGTATCTATTTTTGTGTTAAAAGCACGTTTGTAACTCACGCGAATCGCAGTTTGGCACACTACTGACTTTGCTGTATCGAGCACAGTTTCTAGTCGCAACGAGTCCAGTCACTAGCCAATATGGTTTCGTGGTCTGCTGTAAACTGACTGTAGTTTAGCAAAGCAACGTTACCAACGTTGCGCCCTTTCTACGGTATCAAACAGAACAAGCTAACGTGATCTCATGGAACGGCTGTACGCGGAGAAGTAAAAGTAATTTTTTTTCCGTGTTGGAAGGCGAATCAGCGCCATGAAGCTGGTATCCGGTGGCACAGACTTGCTCTTTGAGCAGTACAGCATCAAGCAGATTCATGAAATTGAGCAAAGCATAAGGTGAACGTTTTATCTTAATGCGTACTGTCTATGAATCGAAGGCAGTATGTGACATACTTTATTCTTTACAGGGCTGATATCGAGAAAAAGAAAGAAGATCTGCGGCAGATGGTTGGGTAACTGCTACGTGGCTGTTTCAATAACCATAAAGTCACAGTACCGATAGGCTGCTGCGTTGCATTCGATTTTCTGTGTAACGATCGAAAATGTTTTTTTGCTCTCCCAGGGAGCGGTACAGAGACCTCATCGAGGCTGCCGACACTATCGGTGCAATGCAGCGAACCTCTGCTAACGTAAGTGGTGCGCTATTCCGCATCGATACACTTTTGACTTTTGTAGGTAGTGAAACTGTATCTTCCAACCAAACAAGCTCGTTCCTGCTCTTCCTTTCTGTCTCCCTGCTCACCTTGTGGGGGGACATTCCCGTGATATTTAATTTTTTAGAAAGCAAAGCATTGCGTGAAAGCTAGAGAGTTTTTGATTAGTTGAATTCCTTATGAAAAAGACAACTCGCAGCCGTCACATTTTTTGAGGGACAGTTGAAGGCAGTAAAAAGAAAGAGTAGTAAGGGAATTTTCTGGGGGGCTCGTTTGCTCTATGATATGCAACCATTAAAACCGACAGACAGCTAAGCTGTGGAAAGCATAGAGGACATATTGTTCGTAGTTAACTGTGATGTAACGACTCTCACTTAAGTTTTTGTCAATGTCCCCTATGCTTTCCTTGGCTCAATTGTGATAGTTTCATAAGTTGTACCTAAAGGAATTGTTACGCATATATTCATTGCCCTGAACAAATGATGCTGTGTCGTAAATTGGCAAAATAGCTGTCTATATTTGTGGCCACCATTGCATTCATGCTATAAGGTGTGCATTCAGTTTACACTGTTGCAATCATGTGCATTCTTTTGCAGGTGAAACAGTACGTGGCCCAATTAACGGAACACTGCCAAAACCTGCAGGGCAAGCCTTCAACCCCTGTTGCAGCTCGGCCTGAGTACGTCCCCTGTTTTGTGGCTGGCTCTTTTAACTACCCTTACGCTATGTGAACCTGTTTTCTGGTGCCTCACGGTTCTCTTCCTTGTTGAGCCGTGATAAAGGTTCCGCATAGACCACTCAGTGTACTCGGTTATACATGCAGTAAGCAAGAGAAAGGAAAATCAACAACTAAACTGGCAAAGGTCAAAAGCACCACAATGTTTCACTATAGTTATGATCCTATTTATTCACCCACACATCCCCTATAGATGTTTTGGTGTGCAAAACTTAGAATGACGCTACTAAATAGTAGTACCTGTCACAAAGGACAATGATCTTTTTTCTTGGTGGGCAAATTTGTTGTGCTTTGTGTGCAGGGCCGAAATGCACATGCTGGTTACCATAAAAGGTAGTGAGGGGAATTATCAATAATCTACACGACTTAGCCGTGTCTGCTATAGATGCTTCATAATTTGGGATGACTGCCAGACCAATTGAAAAGAAATGTGTCGGCAATGAAACTTGGGAATGGTACTGCGCAACATTATGTAGCATATGCATAGAAACAACATTATGCAGAACGACCTTGGTAACAATAGATGGGTTGTGCAGTACTATTCCCAAATTTAATTGCCTGAAAAATTTCTTGTCTATTGGTCTGGCGATGGTCACAAATTGAAGCATGTATAGCAGACGCAGATAAGCTGTGAATGGGAGCGTATCGGTACCCCTGACTGGTACAAGTTGTGCCTTCTATTGGTGTAATCAATGCAGGTGAAACGTGATAGATAGGAATGAAGAATTTCTGTCTGTCAGAAATATTGTGGAGCTACAGCTGGGGATGCATATCAGAAACTTCTGTGCTTTTCCTTTCGTTGGTTCAGTGGCAATTCCTCCCTTTGATAGAACTAGGGTGATAATGCTAGTCTGAAATCGCAAAATGCCAAGAATAAGTGAGTACTCCAATGGAATTGACTCAGCTACTGCATGCTTCTTGTGTTTCAGGACACTGGGCACTGTCCCACCACTACGCTGTCCTTGCACAGGTGAAGCTCCTGGTGGACCTCCCTTCCAAGGTGCCTTCCTCTCGAACATTGCTCACTGTCAACAATGATTAACATGCTGCTATAAATGTAATTCTCAACAACTTTTTTTCAGGATGATTTACTCTTAGGTCTCGAACCGTTGCTTCTGACAGCAGCATCTGTCTTTTGTACACTTCTCTGCATTCACTTATCGGGTCATGCATGCGAAGGCAAACTTGGTCAAAGGAAAGTTAGCCATCATAAACGTGACCTGAAGCAAGTGCATGCGTTAGTGTAGAATTAAGGTGTAGTGCACCTAACGTGGAATACAAAAACACAAAACAGAAACATACTTGGGGCTGTGTTAGGTGCCGCTAGGTGCTGTGCTACGCTATCAAGAGTTTCAAGGGATGTTACAACTGGGGCATATGGGTGGCCACCATGATGGTGAACTGCTAGTGTGGCAGTAGGCATTGGGTGTGATATTTTCGCTCATATTGCATTGTGTGATATGCATTGTGTGGGTTCAGTAACAGTACGACATTATAATGCGAATGTGTACGATTTTTGCTGCAGTGTGACAAGCAAGCTTACCACTCAGAGATCAAACATGGAGCCTACTGCTTTCTGAGAGTGATAGCTCAGCAGTGCGATCAAAGGAGCATCCCTGGCTTGCTCACATAAACACGGAGGATCTTAATAACTCGGCATTTCAACTTTTTATTTCAAGTCTCTTACACTCTTTGCTAGGACGATGCGTGGGAAGACAAATATTTGCCATTGTTGTGCACATCCTTGACTCTATTATGCCCGCTGTTGTTTCCATCGTGAGAAGTGTTGCATATAAATACCCTATAAAGGGGATGAGAGGATGACTGTCGCCATAGCTCAAATCAAGGAGCGTCAAATGCATTACTTAGAAGTTTTTTTAATGCTGCAGCATTAAAGACCTCGCTTCACAGAAATGCGGTGTCGGGGTCAGTGTTGTTGGTTGTGGGCAAAAAAATATCTTGTCCGTAACTGAAAAATTGAGACTGGTGCCAATAAATTAAAGAATAAAAATTTTCTATTTGAGTAAGAATGGGAACCCAGGCCGTCTGCATGGCAAGCAGGCGTTCTATTGCAGATCCACGCTGTTGCTTGAAACTGTTTGGGAAAAAACACTTGCTATATGACCATGGTGTAGTGGAAGAAGCCTTCTAAACCCATGTAATATTGCATGACAGAAATGTAGAATAGCACCAGGTTTCTGTACAAGTGAATTGCACAACGAGTGTGTGTTTTAAAAGCCCAACCACCACAAAGCGCTTAGACATGTTTAATCATCATCAGCTGCAAAAGTATCTACAAAGTGAGCAGCTTCGTAAGTTCGCTTGTTGCCTTATGTACTTGTAGGGGGCCCGATCTGCAAAATAAAGGGTTACGACATAGTGGGCAATTGTAAACAGCACTTGAAAACATAACGCATTTCAGGATAGTTCAATGTTATGTCCAATGTTATGTGCACAGTCATTAGTTTTTTTCATAGCATGGTTGAGGCATACACCACCAATCGGAATCCAGGCTAGCAATTGAGAAGGCGATGCATCATTGCACGTGGTCCAGTTACGCTATCAAGTTCTACTCTTGAAGGCAAAGCTTAAGCATCTTCAAAATTTTTAGGTTCAGTCCTTACTGGCGGGAAGTTGTCATTGGATGCACTTCAATTTCTTCTCGTTTATATCATAATCGCTACAGCACAGTTAAAAGACTACAAATGTTGCCCCTGACACCTTTCTCGGCTTCATTGCCTGTTGGTTTGCACTCTGTGTCACGTGACCACTTTTAACTCAGATTGTTGTTTTTCTTGTGATTAACTCTTTTGTTACCACTCCTATTCAAATCGATCACTGGTGATCGGCGCTTTTGGATCGTCGATTTTGGCATGTTAAATTTATTTCTCGTGCACCCAGCACATTCTAGTAGTTAGCACAGGCACTCAACTTTCAGAATCGATTTGAATTTGTTCGTTTCGGCAACATAGTGATTTTTGACAGACCTTTGCGCAAACCAATGTGTGTGTGTTGTTCAAAAAGTGCACTAGGCTGGCGAACTTGACAGAAGTGTGTGCCCCTTGGGCTATAGTACAATAACATTGAAGTTCTGTAATGAAAAGAGCCTTTGCAATATCAAATTAATATCAAACCGAATATCAGATTAAAGTTTCAGCTTTGCAATATTACAATGTTAAACAGTAATAATTGCCATAATAATATGCCAGATATTCAATAGAGAGCTGTTCCTTGTGTGACGCTATGATGAATGGGAGACGTGGCCTGGCTCATACTCCATGTTTATTCTATTCTCACTTCTTCCTTCTCGGTTTCTACTTCTAACCTTAGGTTACAGGATTCCCCCTCCCGCCGGAAGAAGTCGCGTCAGACACTTAACAAAACAACAAAAACGGGTGTTTACGCGGGCGAAAAATGTCAAAATGCACCATAGTTCCATTTTAGAAAGGAGTTCCTTAACTCGCACAAAAGATCTACAGCAGGGGGAAGCAGTCCGGCCATATCTAAGAGAACTCAGGTGGACGAGGCTGGCTGTTGCGTCCTGGATGGCATACCCCCGCCCTGCACATCTGCACTGATGATGACACGACTTGAGGTCTTGTGAGGAACGAACAAAGCTTGAAATCTGTGTAGCATTGGATTGACGGATGTCTTTGGCATCGGATCCAGCGCCGTCGTGACAACAGACACTTTGCTTTTAGTCGCCGTGCGTGAGAGCCAAGGCTGATGGGAGGAAGTCTTTTTTTCTCCGTTGTATACGTGGTAGCTTCATGCCTTTTTCGTAACTTTCTGTGGCGTTTTCTCGGTTTGTTGGATCGCAGACACAGCCTTGAGAACTGGTGCAGAAAATTTTGTCGACGTTGCTTTCTGCGATGATGGCTTAGGCATTGACTTTGTCTTTGCTTCTTTAATTGCTGTTGTCTCTTATGACCTTTAAGCCACAAGTGTACTCGTGAGAAGGTTCCACTTGATCATTGTTCTTGTTCGAGTAGCCGTTGTAGTTCCTGCGGTTTGTGGAGTTGCCTTTGTTGAAATTGCTCGTTTTGTTGCAAAAGTTGGTTAGATGGGCATCTCTCAGGAACATGAGTCTGCTTTTCTTTGCATGGTGATGTGATCAGTATATAGTCGGTGGTCGACGCTGTACTGCAGGGCTTTTCTCAAGATAAAATCAGTGTGGCAGACTGATGGGAAAGCTTCCCAGATGGTTGTGTGTCATCATTCATTGTAAGTGTTTCTGTAAGTTCACAATGTGCCGGCTTTGGTGGATTTGAAACTGCTGTAGTGCTCCGACTCACATGTGTGTTATAACTTGAAGATGAGAGCACAGCAGACATGGCTTGAGGTGCTTCTGATGACGTTTGTTTTTCTTTTTGCTGCATAATTGAGCTGAGAAAATCTTTTGAAAGAATCTGGTCTTGAACATCAGGGTGTGGGCTGGTATTGTGAGCATTCATGAACTCGTCACGCGTAAATGCCGCCACACGTTTGAAACCATCTGGGCCTTGTGTGTGACACGAAGCATCATGGGATTCAAGTGGTTCAGTAACATCTGAAGTGTTGTGGTGCAGTGAACACGTTGAAAATGCTGATTTCATTGCTCTTGGGAAAGCCGGCTTTAGGTTTAGTCTTTTGGCGAAATGGTTTAGATTCCTTTCGGTATACAGAGGCTTTACCTTGTCTGTTGCGACGTGCAAGTTACCAGTCGGTGTCCGAATGCATGACGTTTTTTCGGAAGAGTCATATGATGGTGCAATGGTGGTATATTTTCTCTGAGGTCTCGTTTGGAAAATAGGCTTACTGCGGGAAGACTTCGCGTAACTGTGATGGGTGAGTTGAAAAGCCTTCCGCTGATGAGGTATGGACAGACCTTCATTGTATTCTTTGAAACGGGTGATCATTTCTTCTTTGATCTTTTTCCAAGACTCATCGTTCTTGAAGATGTGGGTGAGGTAAAATTTGAATGCCTCACCTGAGATGTAGTCGGTGAAGTTAGTGATCATCTCCCGTTTCGACCAAGATGCAAGGGTAGCGTGGAGCTCAAACAGGTCGAACCAGTCTTGTACGGGTCCATCATCCGCTGCTCCGGTGTACTTGGGGATGGGAAGGTCAGTAGATGTTTCCGTCATGATGCTCGTCGATGTGTACTGCTAGGTGCTGGTTCGGTAGTTGATTTATGGTCAGGGTGTCAGGATTCCCCCTCCCCCGAAAGAATGCGTGCGTTGCATATTACAATGCATGATAAACAAGCAGTCTTAGAACACACACACAAAAAAAAATGTCCAAATGGGCTGTAGTTCCACATCAAATTGAAGTTCCGTAAAGTCACACAAAGATTTCACAGGAGAGGGCAGCAATCCGGGGTTAGTACAGCTCTGGTGGGCGAGGCTGACTGTTATGTTCTGGACAACATAAGCAGGCTTTGAGCGTGGAAACAGATGGAAACGCAGCCGGCGTTCTTGCGAGGATTGAACGAGGTTGGAACGCCTTGCAGGATCGAAAGTTTTGTTGGCGTCGCATTTTTCGTCGTGAGTGATACAAACGCCGTGCATGCAGTTTGCGTGCCCGTTGATCGTGGCTGATTGGGCGCTGCTTGTGTTCCTGCAGAGTACAAGCGGTTGTTTTGTGGTGTTTAGGGGGTTTTCTACGGCAATGGTGCAGATGTTCAGACCGGCGGCGCAATCTTGAACGCTGGTTCAGAAAAGTTCCTTGGCTTTTCTTTCTGGAAAGCTGGCTCAGATGCGAAATCAATCTTTTCTTTTGTGGTCGTTGTTCACGACAGAGCTGTTGGGCCTGTCCTTGTTGCTTTTGTTGGCATTGCTTATGTTGCACTATCAGACAAGGTGAACTTCCTTTAGAAACATGAGCCCGCTTTTCTTTGTAGGTTGATGTGACCATCAAATACCTTATACTTGTTAGGGTGCCGCGATTCCTGTCAGGCAATCAAGATAGTGTGCCAGAATTGACAGAAAAATCTGCTGAAGCTCTTGCAACGACATTCTTAATGGACGTTCCTGGCACAGGGCAGAGCTTGAGGGTTGATCCTTCCGAGTCTCCTGTGTTGGTTGGGCTCTCAGCTGGCTGGGAACTTGACGGCGACACTGCGAAACACTTGGTTTGGTCAGATTTTACTTGGGCCTGTTTCTCTGTGTCCGCAACTTTGGAGATAAGCTGTTCTGATGCATGAATGTGGACGGTTGGCCCTGGGCTTGGCTGAGTATATTCGGAGTTCCGCAGCCCTATCCCGACTGTAGTGGGCATGTGAGACGCGAGGTGGGCGTTGTGAGCGACCGAAGATCCACGCGATAGAAAAGCTGGAGTCTGGTCAATGCGTGAAGGCTGCTTTTGACTGTGACGACCGAGTGCGGTTGTCTGTGGATGGTGGGTTATAAGCAAGTCTTCGTCGTAGTCATCATTCTATTCTTTAAAGCAAACAAGCATTTCTTGTTTTATCTTTTGCCAAGACTCGTCGTTCTCGAACATGTGGGTAAGGTAAAATTTAAATGCCTCACCGGTGACGTAGTCACTGAAATTCGTAACCATCTCCCATTACGACCAAGATGCAGTGGTAGCGTGGAGCTCGAACAGGTCGAACTAGTCTTGTACGGGTCCATCGTCCGCTGCTGCGGTGTACTTGGGGATGGGAAGGTCAGTAGATGCTTCTGACATGATGCTGGTCGATGCGTAATGCTAGGCGCTTGTACAGTAGTCCATGTATGCTCAGGATGTCATGCAGAGAAATGCGTTGATGATGAGCGACTGATGAAGGGGCTGGCAGGTCTTCATCCTGCCGACTCGTGTGACGCTATGATGAATGGGAGACGTGGCCTGGCTCACTCCAGTGGCTGAAGAATGTTAAAAATCCTCAAGGTCGTCTCTTCCGGTGGTCTTTGAAACTGTCAATGTATGATGTGAACATCAAACATCAAAAGGGCACAAGTAATGTCGAAGCAGATGCGCTCTCCAGAGCCCCAATAGTTAATCTTCTGTCACACGACGACCTTCAGCGATGCAACAATGAGCGTCCAAAAGGAACGCATTCATTGGAAAATAACATCATCATCGTCAAAAGAAAAGGACTACGGAAAATATACGTGCCCCATGAACTACGCCCAACCATTCTGAAGAATGCACATCAACATTTTGGGCATGTCGTAGTGAAGAAGATGCTATCTTTCCTATCTCCTCAATATTATTGGTTGCATATTGTAATCGATGTTTCCACTTACATTCGGCATTGTGATACATGCCAGAGAAGCAAGAAGACGAAAACAAAAAAGTTTGGGACGCTTGAATCACTGCCTCCAGCTGAAGAACCCTTCGACCTCTTTGCAATAGACACCATTGGAGGATTTTCTGGATATGGCTCATCAAAAAGGTTTATACACTTGGTTATTGATCATGGGACTCTCTACGTATGGGCGTTTGCTCATAAAAGTGAGAACAGCGATGCCTACATTTCATGCTTAAAAACAATTCTTTTTTCTGGAAAAGCACGGAAGCTCCTTTCAGATTGTGGAACAGGATTTACTGCAGGAAAATTCAAGCAGTTTTTGAAACATAATCGTATACACCAACTATTCACCTCATATCATCATCCACAATGCAACGGCATGAACGAGCGGACAAACCAGATTATCGTGACGAGACTTAAATGTAAGATCAATGACGAATTACAGAAGTCTTGGACTAAGCTGCTTCCGGAGGTAATTGACGAATACAACAGAACACCCCACGAAGTGACCGGCTACGCACCTTCCTTCCTGATTTATGGAATTTCATCTTATCCTACTGTACTGAAACAACGAGAAGAAACTGTCGAAGAAGCGCGAAAAACTACAGTTACCAATTCTATCACCTACCACAATAAGAACAAAGTCATTTATGATAGAAAATTTCTTCCGATTGAGTTCCAAGTCGGTGACTTTGTCCTTTACGAGACACCATGGCATCCCAACAACGGCAAACTGAGTTCCGTCATGGAAGGACCTTACAAGATTCTACGCAAGGTCTCAACAGTGAACTATGAGATCAACTGCTCCGTGCTACCCTTAGGTAGAAACTCTGACATTGTGCATGTTAGCAAACTGTGGCGTTATTTTGTACCTTCTCAAATGAGACTTTCTCGAGGGGAGGGGGAAGTGTTACGCATTAACAAGGTGATTCTAGGGGAAGCCGACAAAGAGGAAGTGCGCGTGCATTAGAATAAACGCATGGCATCTGGATCACGGTGTGTTCTATAAAAATATTTGCGAAGGTCTGCCGCGTGTTTTAAGGGTCGAAGTGGCCCTCTATGACAGTTTCCAGCAACTTTAGTTTTGCTTGCATTGTTATATCAGACACAGGGTTGCATCTAGCGTCACTAGTCGCTCATATGACGCCGTCGTCACGCGTGCATGGGTGCGCACTAGCGCTGCAAATCTCATGTGCTCGTTAAAACTCTCTTGTTGCCTCATCTGAATTGAGTGAGGAGGAGCTTAGAGTTTGAAGATGACAGCATCTTAACTTCAAGTCTTATGGCGATGATGTTTTGCGTCAGTCTGAGACATCCGCAGACGTTCATGGGTTTGTTTTGTTTACATCCTCAAGTTGTCTCCTTTGCCACAACTGCCTAGAGCTTCTGACCTTTGTGCAAAATCTTATAGCTATGTACCCTGGTTACGTCCGCGGTCCACACTTCGCTGAAGCGCAGTGTGCTGGCGCTGGCTGCAGAGCTTCTCCTAACTACAAGAAGGCTCTCGCAGCTCATCTTGGCCCTGACTACGGAACAGTGCAAAAGTTTTTAGAACTGCACGTGATATTTTCCTTTTTTTAATAAGATATTTGCAAAATCAAAAAAAAAATATATGCTTGGATGCATATATGGGAACACCTACCTATGCAGAGGGAGGTGGCTCATGGAAAGAGGTGACACTAGATGAAATGGAAAAGTTTATTAGACACTTCAGTTATAGAGGAAATATTCACACCACAGGTATTAATTTACATTGGGACACCTGGAGACTCTTATCACAAGACAATAAAAATTTACTGAGAAAAGAGTACGAGTACACTTGTGTCTCACGAAAAATCATGCAGTGCTTCACCGCATGGCACGAGCAATGCAGCAGCACTTCGGTTCTGATTTTATTTTTCTATGTGAAGAGGAACAGTTTGTTCAACATTCATTATTTTTATACTGTTCCTGGGTCATTTATCTACAAAATGTATATTCTGAATTTTTTTAACATTTTTGCATATATAGTGTTTTTATGGCACTGTTTACCATCTGGCAACCAGCCCCGCCACAGTGGTCTAGTGGCTAAGGTACTCGGCTGCTGACCCGCAGGTCGCGGGTTCAAATCCCGGCTGCGGCGGCTGCATTTCCGATGGAGGCGGAAATGTTGTTGGCCAGTGTACTCAGATTTGGGTGCACGTTAAAGATCCCCAGGTGGTCAAAATTTCCGGAGCCCTCCACTACGGCGTCTCTCATAATCATATGGTGGTTTTGGGACGTTACACCCCACAAATTAATCAATCAACCATCTAGCAACCAAAATTTCCACAATTTTTACATTTTCATTCATTTTAAATATTTTTGTTCCCCTACAACATGTATTTTTTGGAAAGAGCATTTCATTGTGCAAAGTTTGGTATGCAGTGATGCGTGGTGGAGTACTTTTCAAACTGGCAGAAACGATCTTCCTGAGACATATGAAAAACAACCATTTTTGCGCGGTAACGAAAGAGTTAATAATGGTCCTTGCTACACAAGCAACCACCTTGGCACTGTTGGTCAAGCACACTTGGCGTGGTAGTACACGACAGGCTATGATTTCGATTAAAAGGACAATAAACAGCAAAACGATTTTTTACGTATTAGTAAGTAGAATTTCAGAATCCCGAAAACATCACTCTTATTGTGACATGAAGCTTGGTAACCGAAAAAACGCGTGAAAACAGAATGTGTGTGGAGACGCACCTTCAGATTGCTACACCAAATGCTGTGATGTCATAGATTTTGAAAGTACCTGCTGGGTCCTTCGTTTCTTCTAATCAATTAAAGTGAAATACATTGTCATCTGTGGGTGCCATAGTCTAAAGTACAAAGTTTCAGAAAATTTATCGACCTAATGTCACGAAAGTATGAAAAACACATTTTGAAATTTTTGACGTCACGCACAGAGATTTCGGCACGAACTTTTAAAATGAAACTTTAACCTCGATTTTTCCCATCATTTATGATAGTAAAACATAACATTAGAGTTCTCAGAGTGCAGCTTGTCAATCTAAACCAAGTCATTGTTTCTCTTTGGTGTCTATTTAAGATGTGAAGATTGCAGTTCAGGGGATCTAGATAGAACAACATCCATCGCAGGTCTCCATGTAGCGCCCACGAAGTTTGATAGGCTTTGGTCACAATCGAAGTTGCCGTGAGACATAAATGGCCTATTGCAGCTATTCTGCCAACCTTCACTGGTTGTTTCAAATTGTGTGATTTCGCTTTGTGATCGGTGTGCCTGTTGATGTGACATGCAGCTGTGGGGCGAAGCGGAGCGAGAATGCTGGGGTCGTGCAGCCTGCCTCCAGCGCCTAGGCCAGCACGTCCTCTGGCACCTGCAGCTGGCCACAGGGCTGGAGCCGTGGAAGGCCCTGGTATCTCGTCAGGGCACTTCCCTTGCGTCCCTCGGACACTGCTTGCTGCAGGTGCAGTAATTTGCACCTACGTTCTTTGTAGCCATACTTAAATGCAACAATTGCAGCGTAAACACATTTAGCCGGGTCACCCCAATGTTTTATTGCACTGCATGAAAATTCTTGATAATTAACTTCCAACATGCTCCAACACAGGGTTCAGTGATTGTACTTGAGTATGCACTGACCCTATGTACTGTGAGCTTCAAATGAAACACGAACAGTGGCGAGTCTTTACGATGGTATAGTGTGCACCATCGATGATATAGTGTGAGCTTCTTTATGATTACAGTTCTACCATTAATAATTTCCACATGTTTCTAGTTTAGGCTGAACTTGCACTGCCCCACTGTCCTGTTCAAAGGGGTTCTTCCTCCATAGCAACATATTGTTCTTCTTTGGGACTTTTATTGCATAAGAATTTACAGGAGTTGATTGTAGTTTCTGTGTATGAACATTGTGTTTCATTGTTTTGCTATGAATAATTATCACTTTGTGCCATTGTCAGTGCCTTGAACATTCACGTCAAGGTGCTGCGTGCGAAAATGTTTTGTGAAAAAAATGCTGGGTGGACCAGCTGACAGCATTGTTTCAGAGCATGTCTAAGTAGATCTGTTTCTGATTTTCAGGGTTGCTGGAGAAGACTTTTGTGCTTGGAAGCACCAGTGTCATGGGAGGCTCAACTGGAATCTCTCACAGGGCTGGCACTTCTCCAAGGTTCCTCTCTCACCGAGTTGCTTACGCATTTATTGGAGCGACGCTTGGTCAGAATGCTTTGCTTATCTTTGGCATTGAGTAATAGATTAATAGCTGCTCACCTTGATAATAGCAGTCATGCTTCGCAATATCATCGCCCATTATGTTATTCATCGCTACAAACTAAATTTTAAGCCACTGAAACTGTGGGTCTTGGAATCAAGCATTGAAAGGCACATTTCAGGTGCAATAGAGACTAAAGTAGGAGGCACCGCAAGTTTTCCACAAGCCGCAATCAGTTCTACATCTTAGTTGTCTGGAGTCAATCGTTATGGTGACATATGAACTGACGTATCATTCTCACACGATCATAGGTCGATCTGAATTTTCTAAATCAAAGCTTACAATTAAAACCGAAACTACTTCCAGTTATATGCAGCATTTCTGTACTGCCACTAATGGTGAGATAAGTGTGACTAATAAAGCATCAAGGTGCCCATTAATGTCATTTGTACTGGTTTCTATATGACTTTCTTCCATATCTGGTTTCTATATCAACTTGTTTCTATATTACTTCTCGTGCACTAAACTGTTAAAATCTACACCCACTAGCATGAATTACCAGCGCTTTGCAAATTGCGCAGATTTCACAGTCAGAAGACAAGTCTTTAGTATGGGGGTCTCTCACTGTATCAAAGCTCTGGACGAGTGGTTGTAGCGTGCGATGGCACCGTTAAATGCGAAATGCAATGCAAATTTTCGTAGACATCTAAGTTATTGAGTTAATGAGCTTAAATCAGAGTAGGTCGCATTGGTTCCGACTGCTCACGAAAACCTAAAATGCCTTTCATGGAGCCCAGTTTAGAAAACCATGTTTTAGCGTACTGTTTTAATTATAGTAGCAAAGCTCGCCTGACTCTGTTCCATTCTATTACTATAAGTAATCATCATTTTATGGCATTATCAGTGCCTTGAACATTAACATCAAGGTGTAAAATACTACTGTGCTAGTCAGTTGTCTTTCTGGTCTCCACATTTGGATGTCTCTCTTTAAATTATTTATTGAAGCTCTTGTCTCTTGAGTGTTTGCCTCAGCTTGGAGTAAAGGCCAAAAAAAACCTTTCGTTATTCCCAGTGGCCAAAAGTATGGAAACTTTGTTAAAACTTTTTGTTCTTTCAATTTAGTCATATTTTTTCTACTATTTATAATGGCAAAGGTATTTAGGCAAACTGGTTACTGGTTTAGCAAGAATACTTTTATGAAGCACAAATAAGCTCTAAAATTCTGCATGTTATATTTTTGTTTTATCTTTTGAAGGGCCAGTAAACAGGTTTCGACATTTTTTTTATGCCCCCCACCCCAAACAACCTCGGTGACCACAACCCCGGTGACCACAACCCCGTGACCACAAACCCCGGTGACCACATTTGCTGAATATTACAGCACTGTGCAGACCCTTCATTTTGAAAAACAATCCTGTGCCTTTTTTCATCGCCTGACCAATCTCCCTTATACGCGCAGTCTGATGAAAGCTTGTTCATGGGCAATGTTACACGCCACTGAGCTTGTCGATTGGTTCTTTGCCTTACGAAACAGCGCCTTCGCCCTGCGGCAATGCAGTTTCAGGCGGGCAGTCCGCATTTTCATTTTTCTGTGCTGCCCTCTGCCGTTTTGTAAAGCCCGAGACTTCGGGAGTAACAACCAAAGTAACAGCCTCCGATATGGAGAGCCGTCTAGCTACTTTACTGCGAGCGAAAAAGTTCTTACTCCCCCGTGCAGCTATGACACATGCTCATCGGACGGAAGCCCCGCTCAGTTGTTGGTTGTGCACCGATGATGTATCACGGATGTCGTGTTGCGTTGCTTAATTGGCCAGAGTCATAATGATGGGCTACTTTTTCATGAAAAAGGGTGGCGAGCGGCCTTTCGAGAACTAGAAACTGGCTGAAACGGATGTTCTAACCCCTGTGACTTCCTTATTAAAGCACATATTCGCAAAATTCTTGCAGCAGCATTTTCACATAGCAAAAGCACACTTATTTCTCTTCATTAAATAATTTGGACCTTGGGGTTGTTTACTGGCCCGTTAAAGGGGCCCTGCAACACTTTTTGAGCATGGTCAGAAAACGCTGCCAATCGGTAGTAGAGGCTCCTGACAATGTGCGAGCCAAGTATTTAAGCGCAGTGCGTGTCCTGGAATTCACAATAAATGATCAAAGTCAACTAAAAATAGCCTTTTCTTCTCTCGACAAATCACGGAAAATAAGCCAAGTAAGCCCATCGATCAGCCATTGGCTGATTTGAACATGACGCGCTCGGTTGTTACAGAGGTCGCCGCGAGAGGCCGTCACTTGTCCACGCGTGCACGCACGATCGCACTGAAAAAACCGCGTATTTGAAGAAAAAAAAAATGCTCAAGGTCACGAGGCGCGAGTGACGCTTTTTGTTTGCCCTTCCCATCTCTCCCTGCTCAGCTTCCAGCGCTTTCGTCGGGACGAGAGAAGAGAGAATGTGATTGCAGAGTGTGACAAATCTTTGTAACTCCGCTCGTACTGGACAGATTTGTAAAATTTTTGCAGCGCTCCATTTGTGATGTAATATGCTTTTCTAGGGAATTAATTCCATGGTTACTCAAAAAAGTCTTTCGGGGCCCTTTTTAAGGTTCTGTTTGACATACTTTTGGCCATAGTATACAGTTTTGTGCATATTTTTGCCATAAAAGAAACACCTTTATTTAAATACTAAAAGACAATTTTTGTAGGTCTGGCAGCCTCGCAGATATATCTCATGAGCTGCCTATTTGCCTATTTGTGTGTCCTGCTATATACGCCAAAGTAGCACCTTCTTGATTATCTTGAGTTATTCAATGAAGTAGGCCTCACAGAGAACAAAGTGGCATTTCAGAATAATTTGCTGCATGGGGAGGGGGGTGTAACATTCGCCCGGATCGCCGCGCTCTTTCGTTTGGCTTTCCTTTTGTTTTTGTTTTTGCCACCCTCTGATTGGTTCGACAGCGCATAAAAAGCACGACGCTGAGTGAATAAACCGCGTTTGTCTCCTGGCACTGCTTGCGTCGTCTGTTCCTCGGCTCCCGTCGGTCGTTTCAGACGCCGAATATGTAACAGGGGGGATGCAGGGTTCCCCATAAGGGGGTGTATCAATGTTCATAGCAGCACTACCTCTCGCTGCTAATTCTATATTTGTACGCCCTCCCCTTATATGGCTAAGGGGAGCTGCCCCCCCCCCTTGTGGTACACACACCTATGGTCAGCATGCATTATGAGGAAACCTGAATGTCTGCATGTAATATGTTTCAGGGCCTGGTGGATCAGCTGGTGGGATCAGACAGTGTCTCTATGAGGGAGCAGCTCTGTGGCCTAGCCACTCTGCTGGTGTCCACACTTCAGCTAGTGCAGGCTGCTTTCCTAACTTCACAACCGAGTGCCCTGGAGTTACGCATATCTGAGGTCACAAAGAGCAATACTTGCGGTAAGGCCACCTTTACTGCTTTCTAAGCAGACTTGTGCCTTGATTCAAACAACTTTAAGACAAAATTTTGGGCTGCCCTGTCATGGTAGTTTAGTGGTTAAGGTACTCGGCCGCTGACCCGCAGGTCGTGGAATCTAATCCCGGCTGCGGCGGCTGCATTTTCGATGGAGGCAAAAATGTTGTACGTAGGCCCGTGTGCTTAGATTTAAGTGCAGGACAAAGAACCCCAGGTGGTCGAAACTTCCGGAGCTCTCCGCTATGGTGTCTCTCATAATCATATGGTAGTTTTGAGACGTTATATCCTACATACCAATCGTCAAATTTTATGCTCAATACCACCTTGCTCTTACAGAGATTAACAGTAACACCACATTTCTTGATCTGTGTTGTTCGGTAACAACCATTGCATCTTGTATTGGCACTTGTTATTTGGCCCAGTGATATCATGTGTAACTGTTAGTAGAGAAAGAAATAAACACTGAGAAAGCGCAAGTTATTAACCAGATTGCCACACATAGCTGACTATGCTTGTGGCTATGTCAAGAAGTTTTGGAGGGTTGTAACTTGGGCTTTTTGATGATCCATCTGGATGTGGGCTGTTGTGCACAAAACACAGGGACGCAAGAAGGAACACAAATAAGCAGAGAAAGCCTAAACTAGCAACAGTATATTGGCCGGAAATGCGACCTTATTTGTACCTACATTTGAATACCCATTGCGTATTACAAAGCAAAGCAAAAGCTAAACCTTAACATGCACGTGTCGTACCAGTGAGATATGCAATTTTTTTGGCTGATGAAGAGATAGTTGGTATGCCGATGCCTTTGCCTTTAAGACATAAGATCTTGTGATCTTCAATAATTAGGCATTATTTCTCATTTCTATTCTTTGCAATTACAGTGCAACTTTGAAATTCATGTTTACAACCACATTTCTCGCAGTGAAGGGCCATCCACCCCCTGTTTTGTCTCTCACATTATATGCATGCTCTCTTTTTGTCAGCCAAAGAAATGTATGCTGGTATGAATAGTGAATTTTAAGTTCGAAGCAAATTCGAAGCGAATAGTGATTTCAGTCGACTAATTTAAAATCGAGTTCAAATTGTATATATCACATATTATAAGAAAAAATGGGCATAATAATCACTAGCTAACTAGCCTGCAAAATATCTCTTCAAGCTTGAAACAAGGCATATGCAAATACCATTTTTTTTGGTTAAAAGGAAGTGGAAAAAAACTTCAAATAGTGGCAGGATTTGGCTTTCGGTGGAATGTAAGTGATAACCTGTAAAATATATTACGTTTTAAAATTTACTATACTGAGAGCATATTGTCACGTGCTTGCTCAAGAAAGACGATGGCAGTTGTGCATGTGCCACGAAGGACTACGAAATGGACGAAGAAGAAGAACTCGCTTGCGCATTCTAATTAAAAAGATCGACTTGCTTCTGGTGTCCCAATCTCTACGGCAAGACCTCTGTTTTGACGTCGTCACACTGGTGGAGGTGCTGGAGCCTACAACCGGATGCAGAACAGTCTTGCTCGGACCCGTTCACCTAGTCCAGAGACCCAGCCCCTCGTCACGACTCCGGTGCACTGATTCAGTCAGCGCCTACTAGGCCTAAGTCCGGAGTCCGCACCTGTTCCGCCTCTGACCAGCATGGCAGCTCCTACCACATCCACGGCTACCCTTACATCGCAGACCACTCTTCCCTCGCAGGTGACTCTTGAACATCCTCGCGTTCCTGAAGTTTTCCATGTGGAAGAGTACGAGGATGTTGAGGACTGGCTCGAACAGTTCGAACGGGTCGCTGTATCTAACCACTGGAACGAACAGCACAAACTTGGCCGTGCGTATTTCGCCCTGGAAGATAACGCTCGCACGTGGTACATGAACCACGAGGCTACTTTCCAATCTTGGGAAGATTTCCATCGAAAGCTCCTCACCACATTTTTGAACACGGACCGACGGGATCGCGCACAGCAACTGATTGAGGCTCGCGCACAAAAACCAAACGAAACAGCCGCCATGTACGCAGAGGGTATGATCCGTCTGTTTTCGAGTATTCGAGTATTGCATTCGAGTATTCGCACAAGCCTAAAGATATAACATATCTCACTGGTAAGACACACATGCATGCTAGGGAATTGCTTTTGCTTTTCTTTTCTTTGTAATATGCAATGTGTGTTTCAACATAGAAATAAAAAAGTTTGAATTTTCTGCCAATAAACTGTTGTTAATTTGCATTTTGCCTGTCTATTTGCATTCGTTCTCGTGCTCTTGTTTATCGTGTGCCAAAGTCCACATCGAGGCCATCTCAAGGATTGGCCAGTACAATGGGTCACATTTGTAACCTTTCACAGCAGATCTGGTGAGCTTCTCGGAGAGCCCATCATTCCGCTATGCTCCAGCACCAATACGAGGTGAGAGTCGCATATCTGCCTTTCTGTGGCAGCATTATCATTTATCAGTGCATTACTTTTGTGTGATAAGTGTGGTAGTCAAAAAGAGAAGTAGCTTTTCTGTAGTGCTTGTTATAACACGTGGACATGTGCAATTAAATGTTTCTTTGCAGAGTTCCGTGTGCAGGTCAACATTGATCCACCAAAACTAGAGATACTTCAGAAGGAATGTGGCCACTTTGTGAAGAAGTAAGTATAAATGCTTGGTAGAATGCGGATATCAATGCCATTGATGCCTAGGCAGTCTGTAGAGGCTTTTGAAAAACTTGTTCAATATGTGCAACAGATTTGCTTACTGAGGACCACCCACTGTGGTGGCTATAGCAGTGCACTGCTGGTTCACAGCTTCAGTTCTCTTCATCCTGGCAATATCTTCAAAGTGGAAAAAATATCCTGCACATTCGCACAAGTACTCACACACAGGGATTCTCAGGGCAAAGTACACTTTATCACACAAACCAACCTCCAGAAGTAGAAGTGCAATCTAGATGCAGACAGAAAAGAAAAGCTTTGAAGGAAAACATCCTTTCAATTGAATCATCGAATAACCACACTATGCGAGCTCATTGCTTAATGCATATTGTAGTGGATCATAATAACTCGGTGAACGGCGCGTGAGGGGTAGACCAGGAAAAGAGAACGAAAACGACAGTGTTGTGTTGGATTGTGTTCGAGTGAGTGGCTCTTGTACGTTACATTTGGTGGCACCGGTGACAGCATTAACCCATGTTTACAAGGAGTAAGGCTGCCGCGATGACAGCAACAGTCAGCACTTCACAGATGCACCCTACGGAAGATGACACGTCGTTGACGGCCTTGGAACCTCCTGTCCCAGTACGCAGGAAAGCTTGGCACAGGCCACGGGAGCCCCAGTCTCATCACACATTCCGCCACCAGCGCCCCATTGCTGCTATTGCTGCTGATGTCTTTGTTGATGCCATCAATAACAGAAGTGTCCAGCACTTCGTCCGCCTCGCTCGTCCGATTGACGTACGATCAGCTTTAGATGTCGCTCTTGAGGTGGAGATAAACGAACGCTGGCAAGCAGCTGAGGATCCATACCGGAGGCCACCCTACACGGACGCACCATCCCGGACCCGGCTTTCGGCTCCTACTCGGTTCCACGATCCTACAGCGATACTCCGGTGCTATAACTGCCACGATGTTGGGCATTTTGCTCGGAACTGCCCTCGGGTGACCGAGTCACTGACAAACTCAGCTCCTCCTATGCAGTCTTCCTCGGGAAACTGCAATGTGGGCCATCGAGGGCAGGACCCCGCATAGTGGCTGAAGCCCCTCTTCTTTCACTTGGCCCCTTCACCGAGATGCCAACTTTGCTGGTGAAGCTTGGAGATCCGCCGCAGCACGTTGAAGCACTAGTGGACACAGGGACTGCATTCAGTTTTTTAGCGACGAGTTTCTTGTCTGGAAGATTTTCGGTGAGCCCTGAGCAGGCCGATCAACCCCATCTCGTCCTAGCTCACGAAGCCACTCTACCTACTTTCGGCGAAGTCTGCCTGAATGTGTGTGCACACGGGAAGACAGTGAGACAGCGGTTCCTTGTTGTCCCAAACCTCTGTGTGCCAGTGATCTTAGGCTGTGATCGGTGCACAGAGTTTGCCATTAGTTTGCAGTTTAACGGCAATGATTGCACCATTGAACTGACATCTACCGCTTCGACACCGACTCGAGCAAATGTTGAAACCTCCAGTAAAGCTTGCTCTAGGCAGTCGTATTTCCCGTTGAGTTATGTCATTTACAGAACATTCAACAAAGCGCGATCCGTGCTCACTCACAACTACCGCATTATGAAAAGTCTGATCATTAAATTTTCTTCGAAAGTCGGCATTCTAACAACGGGCACGAATACGGCCGGGGGTATAAACAGAAGTGAACAACCTGAAATTGGAAAACCATCCCTGCTTCTCAATCCTGTGATAATGGCGACCTCAATTACCATCCCCTTGTCGTCTGCTGCGTGGGTTCCTGTTTACAGCCCCGACAAGTCCGTTGTTGACAAGGACATTCTTGTAGAAAGTACCATTTGTTCTCGACCCAGAGGCGAATTCGCAATGCCGCGGGCCCTTCATCTTTGTTGCGGCAAAACCTTTGCAGGGCTTCTCTTCAACCTGTCCGACAGTATCCTGTGCGTGCCGTCAGGCACCGTCCTCGGTACCTGTACCTACCTTGAAGCACCGTCTGTCGTAGCAGTAGTACAGCCCGTAGCATCTTCGCCACCAACTGCATCGCCCTTAGACTAGAATAAATTCAACTTCGGCCCCAACTTGACTCTGTCACAAAAAGCTGAGATTCAAGCACTTCTACGAAAATTCCTTGACTACGTGGCGATGTCACCCAGTGAGCTCGGACACACTCCTTTGGTGCAGCACAGAATTGACACCGGCTCTGAAGTTCCTGTTCGGCATTACCCGCATCGAGTCTCTGCCGCTGAACGCGCAGATATTGCTAAGCAAGTGGATGACCTGCTTAAGCGTAGTATCATATCGCGCTCGTCAAGTCCATGGTCGTCCCCCGTAGTTCTTGTGAAAAAGAAAGACGGTACAATCCGTTTCTGTGTTGACTATCGACGACTAAATTGTGTCACCAAGTCTGACCTGTATTTGCTTCCTCGTCTTGATGATGCCCTTGACCGCCTGTATGGTGCCTGTATTTTCTTTCTGGCTATTGGCAGGTAGAACTAGACCCAAATGACTCTGAGAAAACTGCCTTTATGACTCTGTATGGCCTATACCAGTTTAACCGCCTGCCATTTGGTCTCTCCAATGCTCCTGCTACATTTCAGCGATTAATGGACCGGGTTCTTGGGCATCTCAAGTGTTCGATCGCTTTGGTCTATTTAAACGACATAAATGTCTATGCTCCCACGTTTCCCGAACACCTCAGGCGTTAGGAAATGGTCTTGCATGCTCTCCAAGACGCTCGCCTTTGCATTAAACCTTCCAAGTGCTTTGTCGGCTTTTCGGAAGTTAGTTACTTGGGGCATCTAGTCAGCGCCATAGGCATCAGCCCTGATCCCACGAAGCTCCAAGCCATTGCCTGTATTCCCCCTCCCACCACGGCTAAGCAGCTTAAAAGTTTCTTGGGCTTCGCTTCATATTTCAGACGCTTTGTCCCTGACTTTGCTTCTCACGCAGCACGTCTCAACGAACTACTGAAGAAAGAAGTTCGCTGGAAATGGGGGCCCAACCAAAAAGCTGCCTTCTGCGACCTCAAGACTGCCTTTCAAGCACCACCGATGCTCGCGCACTATGACGAGAATGCCGTGACGATTCTACACACCGATGCCAGTTGTCTTAGCCTCGCAGCTGTTCTCTTGCAAGTTAACGAGGACGGGCAGGAGAGACCGGTCGCTTATGCTAGCCGCCGGCTGAGTGAACCAGAGAGCCGATACCACGCCTCTGAACTTGAGTGCTTGGCGATAGTTTGGGCACTCGAAAAATTTCGTCCACATTTTTATGGTAAAAGCTTCACGGTCGTTATCGACAACGTCGCCCTTGGCTGGCTTCAAACAAAAAAAGACCTCAATGCTAAGCTGTCCAGGTGGGCTCTCAAGCTGCAAGATTACAACTTTTCTATTGTCCATCGCAGCGGCGCTCGCCATCAAGACGCTGACTACCTTTCTCGCCACCCGACAGCTCTCGGTGACATCTCCTCAGTCTCTGCAGTGCTTGATTTACGAGCTACACAGCTACAAGACGCAGAAATTGACGATATAACCTGACGACTATTTGGGGAAGTACGCACTCCCAAGCGTCGTCGTGAAAATTTTTCTGCGTCATATGTCGCCTGAGAGGGAATTCTTTATTACCGAAATTATCGGCATGGGTCATGCTTGCCTGTTGTGCCAGTAGCGATGCGACAATCGGTGCTGTTCATGTGCCACGATGCTCCGATTGCCGGTCACCTTGGGCTGCACAAAACGCTGGCTACGTTTTGTCGTGCACAGTCTGTCAAGCACGGAAGGCTACCACAAATCCGCAACCGGTCCCCAACCAACCCATCCCTCCTCCTGAAACACCTTTTGATATTCTGGGACTTGATTATATGGGACCATTTCCACTTAAGTTGCGTGGTAACAAGTTCCTTATCGTCGCCACGGACTATCTCAAGAAGTGGACCAAAGTCAGGGCCATCCCTGACTCTCCGACTCTGCACGTCCTCGCGTTCATCAATGAGTGTGTCATTTTTCGACACGGCACGCCACGCTTGCTCATCACTGATCGTGGCACGGCCTTCACGTCCCGCGCATTCAGGAACTTACTGAATGACCATGGAATTCAGCATGCCGCGGCCACTCCTCAGCACCCACAAACAAACGGTCTGGTGGAACGTACAAATCGTACCATAAAGGACATACTTTCGTCATACATGAGTCCCAGTCATAACAACTGGGACGAATACGTCACCGCAGCTGTCTTCGCCCTCAATATGTCACAGCAGGAAATCACACAGGAGTCACCGTTCAAGCTTGTCTATGGAAGGACGCCAAGGCTTCCGCAAGAGAGCTTCTTTGGTTTGAACACAACAACGTAAACAGTCTGGATGATACCAATACTTCGGAGCTTCTTCGGAAGGCTCGCTTTAGAGCGCACATGGCAATAGCGCATCGTCAGGCAAAAGTCCGCTCGCCTTCCAATGAGAACCACACCCCTTTCAAACCAGGAGACCTAGTGCTGGTTCGACACACCCAGCGTGTTTCACAGCGTTGCCAAAAGTTTTTTTCCTGGTATGCCGGCCATTTCGCGTTGTGAAAGCCCTAGGCCCTGTTACGTTCTGCCTAGAAGTTATTCCCCAACTGGGCACCAAAAGCAGGAACCGTGTTTTTCCCGCCCATGCAAGCCAGTTGAAACTTTATGTGCCCCGTGATTTCTGTATGGATGCCTCTTCGTCTTCTGGGTCAGACTCCAGGGGAGAGGGGGCAGCAAATGTAGTGGATCATAACAACGGGGTGACCGGCGCGTGAGGGATAGACCAGGAAAAGAGAACGAAAAAGACAGTGTTGTGTTGGATTGTGTTCGAGTGAGTGGCTCTTGTATGTTACAATATGTTGCTCCGAAACGTTTTTGAATGGGTGTAGTATAGGTGGAGATGCGGGAATCAGTCCCATTCTCTGAGCACTTCCTCTTTTTTATTGACTTTATCAGTATGCTGGAAACTGCACAGGAAGTAATTGCATGAAAGGAGGAAGCAAGTCACTGCACGCCATAACATTGGGCAACGCCTCCTTTATTTTATCAATGCCAGCCAGGTGGGCGTGATCCAGCCATTCACCACCTTCTTCTTTAGCCTTTTTCTGTTCTCGCTCATCGCCTAGCTTTTGCATATGCTTTGCAGTCCTGGGGGGGAGTGGGAGAGCCCCTCATGCAGTGCCTCACGACAAAAATAATATAAAGTAATTTTTTGTTCAGTTGTGTGCAGATCTGTGGGGTGGCGTCTTACGTTCCTCGTGTTCACAATATTGGTGGTCACGCTGCTTCTGTATGTGATACGGTGTTTTGAGATAACGTGTCTGCGTTCGTGGTGCTATGCGGGCAACCAATGGGGATGCGTTACGGTGATGCCGCTGTACAACTAGTGCTGTGAGATGGTGGCAGCATTGCTTCCAGTCACAAAGAAGGAGCATGTAAGCGCAAATATTACGGACGTATGATGTTGGGGAGAGGCACACGTGTATCGCATCTCTGGGGGAAAGCGTTCGGAAGCACGTGTGACGCAAGCACTGCTACACCTCGCATGCAGCACTGTATCATGACTCCTCTCTGAACTAAGGCAAACCAACGGCTCCCGTTGAGAAGCGCGCGTTTGTACTGGAATTGGATGAAATAAAGGAGGTGTTGCCTTGGGCACACGAGCATTGCACTGACACACTCTTCAAGGTCCATTAGAATTAAGTTTGCCTCGCACGCACCATCGAAAGCAGTAATCTGCCCGAGGAGTTGGATCGTCAGAACCTATTCTATACTTTGCGTTACTTTCTTTGGTTAAGGATGAACATAACATGCACGAATTATAGCGCAAACAAGGAACGTAGCATGTTGGTGGCTTCTTGTGAAATTTTTTACTGTGTGTACAGCTGCGTCATATATCAACTTAGTGAAGCTCTTGGCTGCAGTTTCTCTGTAAATAGTGCTGCAACGCAAACCAATGGCCCCTCTGCTACAAGTATTGTGTAGATCGATGCGATAACCTGCACACACGTCTGTCTGGCTATGTAAAGGAAATTCTTCAAGCCTGGAAACTATCTAGTCGGTTGGGGTCAATGTGACATTCAATGACTCAGTTGTAGAACGCCTGATATTGAGAAGTCATCGACAACTTGCCAACTCTTTGTCCATTATACCAATGCAATTGTCAAGTAACCTTCTGAGAGAGCACTGCACTGCATGATCGATCCTCAAAAGTGTCCACTTAGCACACAATCTCTGCATCAGAGCTTGCAATATCGCCTGCGTAGCCGCTCTGCAGGTGAACTTACTACAGCACAGCCAGTTAGGTACTATCAGCGCCAAATGAAACCCGAACAGCGGCAAGCCTTCACGATAGTATAGTGCGCGCCGTCCACTTATCACTACGAACAGGCACGCATATATGCGCAAAGCTGCCGAACAGGATGTGCACGCCTGTCAATGGTGATAACTGGACGGCACGCACTACACTATCGCAAAGGCTTGCTTGCATTTGACGCCGATAGTACACTTCAGTGGAGGGTTTGCAAATATTTCTGAGTTAGCGTACATGCAAGGCTCCTTTTCGAACTAAGCACTGCTCTTCACAGGGTGCATTTCTCGCTTGTCGAGCTCTTGCCACTATAACACTGCGGCAAGAGTATTATCGCGGCGAAGGAAAAGGTCTAAAATACAAAAGTGGCACCTCTTATGCCTGCTGCGGAGTGGTTGAAAAGCCGTAATGCATTAGCAAGGACTGCTGTGAAATAAATAAATAAATAAAAATTTCCTTGGCAAAGGAGAATTTTAACCCAGGCTCCCATGCTCCCAAAGCGAAAGTCTTGTAGGCTTGTGCGAATAATGAATTTTAGATTCGAAGCAAATTTGAAGCAAATAGTGAATTTTAGTCGAATAATTTTGAATTGAATTTGAATTGTATGTATCACATAAGGAAAAATGGACATATTTGTCATGACCCTAACTAACCTGCACAATTTTTTTTTTTAATTTAAACAAGACCTGTGCAAATGCTGTTCATTTTGGTTCAAAGGAAGTGGAAACTATTTTGAATAGTAGAAGAATTGGAATTTTGGTAGAATACCAGTAATAACCTGTCAAATTTCTTACATTTTAAAATGTATTATACTTGGATCATATATGCTAATATCACAAGCTTTTAAACTTAAAGATGATGAGTCTGTGTGAAGGTAATATGTTCATTTAACCTTGAAGCTTCGCCGCAGTGAGGATTTTCCTTGGATAGGTGTTTTCATGTCTTAGCACTCCTTCAGTGCAGTGAAGGGGGGCTATGCAGTGAAGATGTGCGCATATAACCATAACAGTGGGTTTACTTGTGAACTTGTATACAGCTAAACAAATGCTTCCACTGCTTAGTAACTCTTCGCTGCAGTGAAACCATCTTTACAAGGGGTCACATGCGGAATTTTATACATTTTTTGTTCATTTTAAATACTTCAAAATTGTGCACGATTCGTATCGAAGCAAATTTGAATATTTGCACAAGCCTAACCACCAGTGTTCTTGGGAAAATCCTCGGCAGTGCGGATTTTCCGCTTGATAAGTGTTTTCATGGCTTAGCACCCCTTAAAAATTGAAACAAGACCTGTGCAAGTGCCAGTTTTTTTGCTTCAAAGGAAGTGGAAACAGCTTTGAATAGTAGCAGAATTTGACTTTTGGTAGAATGCTAGTGATAGCATGTAAAATATGTTATGTTGAAAATTTACTGTACTTAATTTACTGTACTTAAAGCATATAATCAAGTATAACAAGCCTTTTTTTTAATTTCAAAAGTGGTGAATTGATTCGAAGACATGTCCACATAACTTTGAAGTAGGTATTCACGGTAGGGCGGATTTTTTGGAAAGGTGTTTTCACGGTATAGCACTCCTTTTCTACAGTGAAATTATCTTCATAGAAAGTTACGTGCGGTTTAATATACTGTAAGCACATTTCTTTTACTTCAGTCGTGCTCACTTGTATATAACCATCGTCATCGTGATTGAGCTCGTTCATTGCTATTCTTAGCCAAGGCAGACATCGTGAAAAATAAACGCTTCTGCTGGTCCTGCCTGGTGAAGTCATCCCTGAGTCTTTGAATACATTTAAATAAGTGCTCTCACGGCTAAACAAACCTTTATTGCAGTGAAACCGTCTTTACAGGGGTTGAATAGGGTATAATATAAATTTATTTGTTCATTTCGTATATTTTGAAATTTTCTATAATTTAAATTGGAATTAAAGTGAATTCAAAGACTAATATTTATTCAAAAATATGAAGCATTCAGGTATCTGCACAAACCTAGTGTTCACACTCACGCCTACTTGCGCTCACGAGTACTCTCTCGTGTTCATACTCAGGCCTACTGACACACCTCGTCACTGACTCGTGCTCACGCCTTTTAAATGAATGTGAGTGAATGTACTCTCGAGTGAGTATGTCAAGGGATGGTTAAACTGAACTGCTTGTCGTTTCATCCCTCATTTTTCCAGGCTGTACCACCTTTGGGACTGGCCCATATTTTTATCAGGAGGCTAGTTTCCACAGTGTGGCAGCAGTCTGCCTATAGTGTAACTATATGAAATATTGTTTTAATTGTTTGTTCTTTACAGAAAGCAACTGAACTTTCGCTCCTAAACATGCCCTTTTGAAGCTTTAGGATATTGGGAGAGACAGAAAATGACTAAGTATTTGTGCACATTTATGAGTTTGAAGCAAATCTTTGTGTAGTTCTATGCTTCTTGTGGGAATACACTGTATTTGCTCCTTCTTCCAAGTCCAATCTGGTGTTTATCATGTGTGTAGCAGTATACTGCAATTACTGACCCTCCCTTGAAACCTTCTGTTTACAGCGTGGAGGAAAAGAGTGTGGACCGCATTGTGTCCCATCTAAGCCAACTGAATTCACTGCAAGGCCTTGCACGACTAGGAGCTGACCTTAGGGAATGGCTGCCAAAGGCATGTTTTTCTTTGGCTTAGTGTGCTGGTGTTTGGCTTGTCTTACTAGTCTGCATGTAGGTACGGTGTAATCGTATCAGTGATGCTACTGTTGCATAGCGTCAAATAGTGCTGAAATTTCATATAGAACATATGGAGATGCAATATGTGATGCAGTAGTCAATCAAACACCTACCACCAGTGTGTTTCAGTAATTAGCATTACTTCTAATTCTGCAAGTACAAGTTTATCTAGCATTTGCTTAATAATGCTGGGCCTTTGCGGTGTGTCATTACACCATCATAACATGTCAGCTTCAAGTATATTCTATCGGCAGTTCGATTGGACTATGTGGCAATGATTCTGATTTGACTTGATTTGATTTGGTGCAACAATGAAGTAAAGTTTCCCCTATTGGTAAAGTTGTGTTCTATCTACAGTGATGAATGCAGGTTTACTGTAAGAAACGCTAGTATATAATATTTTATTACAATTTTTTTGCTTAAGCTCAATGAGTGGCTGTAAATAATTTTGTTTTCATAGTCTATGTGAGAAGCTTATAAACAGCGCATATTTAAGCCTGGGCATGTTGAACAAAACTAGCTTGATAGAACATTCTTATTAGAGCTGAGTCTATGAACCGATATGTGCTGGTCGCATAACCTTCATTGCCTCTTTCTTCGCAGGAGGAGGCAGAACTGGGGACATTGGTCTTGGGAGAACAGCTCTCATTGTGGAATCAGTTTTTCCGTGTTCATGTGGGAAACCGCATTACAGTAGGTATCCATATTGGGAAAGCCAGTAAGAGCAAACTGGTTTGATAGCTTGCATTATAACCAGCTTTTGCAGGGGAGTGCCTTCAGTGTTGTGAGTAATATCTCGTTAATTCTTCTGCAGCTTTTATAGAGAGGTGGCACTCTGTTGTGCGTTACGCCTTACATGATTTCTTAATGTGATTTGATTTCTTCTTTTTGTTCAGAATAAATTAAATATGGGGTAGTTGATCAGAAGTAATAAATTATAAGTACAACGTTTACCTAAATATCATTGTGCAGCATAGCATGCTGGAACAGTCTGTCATGTAAATAAGCCTGAATGTATAAAACACCGTGCTACGAGGTTTGTCTCTGCAACTTTCTCAGCAGCATTTTATTAATTGAGTACAATAATTAAGCTTGACTGGCATGCACTAGATAAACAATGCCTAGCAACAAGGTTCATAAATGTTCTCTTATTTACTATGGTCTCAATGGGATAACGTAGAAGCTTTTTGCACAAAGAACATTTTTCCAGCCAGCCTTATCTCTAAACATTGTAATGATGAGCTTAAAGTCCTTGAAATGCACTGTTGTACTGATAAGATTCGGAATTATTTTTTCCATACTCTTTATGCTAAAGCATTATACTTTTATGCACTGGAATAGTTTTCTAAAAGGTATAGTAATAGGGAAATGTGCTGTCAGTTTCGATTATCTTTACATTACAGTTTACTCTTAGCAGAAATCATTGCACATCACTGCTAAATGTAGCCTTATCTAACCTACCCACCCTTTTGTTTGTTCATCTGAACTTTTCATTCGTGACAATTAATTTAATGTCACTGTATGCCTTGCTTATTTTATTTATTTATTTATTTATTTATTTATTTATTTATTTATTTATTTATTTATTTATTTATTTATTTGGAAATACTGTCAACCTTCATAGAGGGTCATAACAGGGAGGACACACATAAAGAATGTACAATGTTCATAAAGTTTCTTAATACCTTGACAACTCACAATAAAAACTAGTATTCTCTTAATTAACAACTCAACATTCAAAATAACAATTCAAGAACAATTCAGAATTTACAGTCATTTTTCAAAATATTTGTTATGAACATGAAGTCGTTTACATCACTTGGCACTGAAAAAAAATTTATTTAGCAATCATGTAAATGCGCTTCTACAGCATTTTCGAAGTCAGTGACATCTTTCAAAATAACAGTTTCGTTCAGCAGTTTGTTCCATATTTCTGACATCTGAAAAAAAAAAAGGAATATCGAAATGTGTCAGTAAATGTGTTGTTTTGCTGTGTGCTCTAATATGTAACTAGCTCATTCTTTAATGTTGGTTTTATGTACATTTCATTTCTTGCACGATGCTTATTTGCGAAAATGAATTTTGGTTGCCATAGGTACATGAATAAAAATTTTTTTTAAAGTTTAGAGGGTGTATGAGCTTTGCCTTGAAGAGCAGAATTCGATAGCATAATAAGGCCTCACGTGCATTGCCCGCTCGATTGCTAGCTTGCCTTCGGTTTTCGGTGGATGCCTGAGCTGTGCCAAAATGGAGCGAATGTCTGTGCATGCATAACGCTGCCCATTTCAAACTATCCTCTAATCTCTGCTGCAAGCACCGTTGTGAAATAACCCTGATGCCGTAATTCTTCCTCTTACAAATCAGCAGAGGGCCCACTACGCATCTGTAAGACAATGCTCGAACCTACGCAGCAGCTTAATTTGTTGATGCTTTTGCTGGTGATGACGATCGAATATATTTGTGTGCTTTGCGTTCAGTGTGCCTTCAGAACCCTCACATTTTGTGCAATTCACATGCCTATGCCTGGTGTGATTTGACTCTTCTGCCATGCAATATTGCATGTGTTAAGACGACTCGTCTCAATGCACGACATTCATATAGTGTTTTTTCCAAAGCAGTTTAAAGAAATGGCGTTAGTTTGTGGTATAACTCCTGCTTGCTGCACAAAAAACCTGGCTTCAATTCCCTCTCGAATTGAAAAATTTTATTATTACTTTATTTGCATATTTCTGACTTTTTTGGTTATGGATGATGCTGGTGTTTTGCCCACAACAAATGATGCTTCCACTGACACCAGAATTTCTCTGAAACAAGCCCTTTAACACTATTGCTTTAAAACTAGTACAGCTTGCGATATGTGGCGCAAAGCTGGGTTGCAGCAGAGTTGGTGGGCACCTGTCTCATTCTGTCTTGGCTTGCCTCTTATCTTTTGATCTGGCCCCGCCGCAGTGGTCAAGTGGCTAAGGTACTCGGCTACTGACACGTAGGTCGCGAGATTGAATCCCGGCTGAGGCGACTGCATTTCCCATGAAGGCAGAAATGTTGTAGGCCCGTCTGCTCAGATTTGGGTGCACGTTAAAGAACACCAGGTAGTTTAAATTTTTGAAGCCGTCCACTAAGGCATCTCTCATAATCATATGGTGGTTTTGAGACGTTAAACTCCTCATAGCAATCAATAAATCTTTTGATCTCTCTATACTCTACTATGCATGGCTATGCTTGCTCTCTTTTTGCTGTTTTTACTTTTATGCTACCTCTTGTCTGTAGGCAAACCTCAACCATTACAGCTCTGCTGTAAAACTCCTATAGTGTGTTTGTGCAAGAGAAATTTGGCGAATCCCTCTAATCACTACACTGTTCCACAAAACAATTATCCAGGAAACACGAGGGTAGTGAACACGGATTTGGGGGCTGTTGGATGCAGCTTCTCCTGTTGACCATCTGTACCGAGTGCTTGGTGGTGATTGAGCGCGTGCTGGTGCATGATCACGATAGTTTTTTTGTCCACAGCACATGCTGAACCTCGATCGTAACTGCTTTGTTGTAGTAAGGTCTGTACATTTCGCTGTGAAAAAGAATGTTATTATCATCTGTGAACAAGAAAAAGAAAGCTTTCTGTATTAGCTGTTCTCCATAACAGGTGTTTCACTCATAGAAGTGTGTGTGAGCGTTTCCCTGGTTCAGAAAATTTTTCTTGTCAGGCATCACCACAATGATGATAGGGACTGATTTATTCTAAACAAGGCAGATGACTGAGCATTGGATCCAGTTGTCATAGTATGTTTTTAAGTTGACCTAAATGTTTTGCTTCGCTTTCTTGTGCAGTGAGAATAAAATGCTCCTACAAGCCACACATTTTTTTATTCTTTGTTATCTATTTTATCTTTTAAACATATTTTTTTTATTTTTATTCTTTCTGTGTGTGGTTTATATTTGCATATCTGATGCAGGTATTGGTGCTTAGGCTTGTACTCTGTGGGAGCTCGGTGTTTCCTCCTGTGTAAATTCAGGGTGCTTTGCCTTCGTAGTATGCAGTGTTGACTGCGCGATAGCCAAATATTGAGTTCAGCTGCTACTTTGAGTGGTTCAGACTGTCGGTGTACTGGGGCTCTGCAAGAGAATGGAAGACCTGAGGGATTCTTTTTCTAATCGTGCCTGACCGGTAATCAGCTGTACTTGATACTATTTCAAAGAGTGATTTCACTGAAATTCACAACACAGAGGTGTATCTCTGCCCTGGTTGTCTTAAAGCAGTCGTAAACTTTTTTTCGTTTTGCCTGATCATGCAGGAGCTGATCAGCCTTCAGCTAAACGCTGCCATGGATTCCTGTCTACAGGCACTAGAAGCTGTCAAGACTGGTGCTAGGTGCGTAAGTTCTGGTAAATATTTTGCTCATATATGCTGGTGTGATTGTACTGTGTTCTGCAGCACTCTGAATGAATTGGATTCCCCTTTTTACTACTTATTTTGTTCGCATGATTTATTGGCTGGGGGTGGGGGGGCGCTGGCAGCTGCCAACAAGAACAGGGGAGGATAAAGGGAAGCCCAGGACACGCTCACGCTCGCTAGGATAGCTAGCAATCTGGCCATAGCTTCAAATTAGTAAAAGGTGCCTGTTCTGGTTCGCCTTCATGTTTTTGCTGTGGGTCTGGTGCAAGCCCACATCGTTTAAGAAAGAATTTACATGCAGTATATTAAGTACTATAACCAAGCCATTATGGCAGTGTCACACCAAATTTGCACTTCGGTAGATGCACTAGGCAACAGTGCTTAGGGCTAATTACTGTGTGACTTTTAGACCAATGGTGACTGATATGAGCACCTCTAATTCATACTCACATGAGCAGTTTTTAGTAGAGCTGTGCAAATAGCAAAATTTTAGATGTAGACCAAGTTCCAATATTAAAGTGTGAGTGCTAATTGAATAGAATATTTGTAGAATATTTTTCTAATACTTCAAAGACAAATTGCAGAAAAACAATGCTGCCGAGGATTCCTAACCATATATTTATGAGTTAGCAACACGAAATTGTTCTTTTTTTTTTTTGGTAGGTTGATGAAGCAGGGGCGAGGTGGTGTTTCATAGTTGTCTTATCAAGCGTGAAACAATACATAGGCTGAATTGTACTTAAATGTGTTGCAGACAAAAAGTGTTGCCGACAATACTTGACACATGATAAGCAAAAATGCTATTTCCTCAGCCTATCCTCCTTTCAATCTCTGTGGAAGCCCAACTGATGTTGTGGACAAGGTTGTGCCTCCCGTCAAGTTCGGAGTTCCAAATCTGCCAAGAACATCCTAAATATTGGATGCTAAAAATTTTTAGTGCCTGACTTTTTGGACTTTCTGCCTGAATTTTAGGTCCAAAACAGCATTAATTGAGCCCCCACCTCTGCCGCATCTATAAATTTTATGTTGTAATTAGCGTTTTCTCGAGTCAATACATTTGCAACTGTAGCAGAGCCCGAAAGGCTGCTTTGTTGCAATATCAGAATGTGATGGGGTAAAGTGCATTGAAAATATGAAGCGAATCGAATGAAATAGCAAACACTTTTGAAAAATATCCGAAATGTTTAGTATTCACGCAGCCCTAGCTTTAGTACCTCGTCGAGGAGGAACTTCAGGGTTTTCGAATCTGTGGATCATTTTCATGTTAGGTTGCTTCTGCTTGGTGCACTCTTGTTGCCGACACATCGTGATGTTTGTCACTTAAGCAGCATGCATTTCTAGTGGTTCAGGTGTGTCATTGCAGACACGGCACAGCTTTTGGTACAGGCGGGTTTGCTACCATACTTGTTTAGTTCTATAATAAAAAACTTACTGCAAGAATTTTAATGAGCACAAAAAGCACCAGTGTGGGTATTTGTGCTTAGTGTGATCGATATGTCTGAATAAAAGACTTTTTTGGAGCATGTCCAAATAAATAGAAAAAGCTCAGCTTATCAGGCACTTTCTTTGCTTGATGAGGTCATTTATGGAATGACCTGTTTGCCTTGAAGCATTCATAGTGCCACAAGGCAGTAGTGGGATTGGGGCATAAAGCAGTAGAGGGTCCCAGACTGAAAGAAAAGACTACGAAGTGGATAGAGACTGGTTCCAGCCCGCCAGTGCGCCAGGCATTGTCATCACGTGTAATCGTTGTAAATATCTGTAAATATACGTTTTCTTGTAAGATTATTGGTGGAGGTGCGGGGTACGCCTACCTCTGGCTTTTCCGGCAAACCAACACGGAACTTCGGAGTGGTCGCCACCTTCATTTTCCTGCAATGGCTCAACAGGCCCACCCACAAGAGCAACAGCAGCCGCAGCTGCAGCAGCAGCAGCACCAGCAGCAGCAGCACCAGCTGCCTCCTCTGATTCTCCTGCCTCCACGAGACCCCGGAACCTTCTCGGGCACAGGCAAGGACAAAGTGAATGTTGAAGATTGGGTAGCTTTGTACGAGCGCGTGAGCGAATACTATAGGTGGGACCCTACGTTGATGCTGGCCAACGTTGTATTTTACTTGCGAGATACGGCGCTCACCTGGTATGAGACGCATGAGTCGGAGTTGATCAGCTGGGACGTTTGCAAATTGAAGCTTCTCGAGTTATTCAGCAGGCCATTTGGGCGACAGCAGGCCGCGAGGAAAGACCTGGAATGTCGCGTGCAGACATCGACGGAATCGTATGTATCCTATATACAGGACGTATTGGGCCTCTGTCGAAAGGTGGACGAGAACATGAGCGAAACTGACAAAATCGCTCACATATTGAAGGGAATTGCCGATGACGCCTTCAATTTGTTGATCGTTAAAGATTGCGCCACCGTCGACGCGGTTGTGAAGGAGTGTCAGCGCTTCGAGCACGCCAAGAACCGTCGCATAACCCGCCAGTTTGCGCGTCTGCCTAATACTGCAGCCACTTCGACCTGTGAAGACAGCCCTAAGTTCACGCAAGCTACATCGTCCGAAAATGTCACCCGAATCGTTCGTCGTGAACTCGAAGCAATGGCTCCTGCAGCCATCGCCTCTGACGGTCCTAAAGACAACGCATCCACCGTCTCCCTCATCCAAGCCGTCGTTCGCCAAGAAATAGCAAATCTCGGCATCACACCTGTTTGCGCCGTTCGCCCCAACGAGAGCTCGGCTTCTGTAAACCAGATTCGGGTGTACCCTTCACGCTACCCTTCCCGCTACCGGAACCCTGCTGAATGGAGAACGTCGGATGATAGACCAATCTGCTTTCACTGCTCTCGCGCCGGCCACATTGCACGCTACTGTCGCAATCGTTGGTCATCCAATTCATCTTGGAACACTGGGGCATGGCGTCGCTTTGAAGGCAGTTCTCGCCGCTTTTCTACTCCGCACGACCCACAGCCTGCTCCTACTAACGTTCAGGGCCGAAGGTTCAGCCGGTCACCATCACCTCAAGGCCGCCGATCTCTCTCGCCGATGATTTCTCGATCTAGGTCCCCTGCACGACCTGGGCCCTCAACCTCGGGAAACTAGACCATGCAGCTCCCGGAGGTGACGCTGCATTAACGACCCATTCTGCAAATCCTCTGTTGACGATTCCTACACGCCGCAATATTTTGGACCTTTTGGTGGATGAAGTTACCGTTACAGCCCTCATAGACACTGGTGCACACATTTCAGTCATGAGCGCTGCTCTCTGTATTAAACTGCGAAAAGTGATCACGCCTCCTATTAAGTGTGCAGTAATGCTTGCCGATGGGAGCACATCTGCCGTTCTCGGCATGTGTACCTCTCGCGTGTGTATTGCTGGGCGCCACACCGTCGTATTGTTCACCGTGCTTGAGCAGTGCCCACATGACGTGATTCTTGGCCTCGACTTTCTCTCTGCGCACTCCGCCCTTATCGACTGCTCGACGGGTCTTCTTCAGTTGGAACTGCCTTTTGACGCCGCTGTTGCCCATGACGCTCAAAGTCGCCTTTGTGCCACCGAGTTCCTGCATCTTCCGCCGCAAGCCGCGACTTACGTGCAGCTCGTGTGTGATCCGCCTGTGCGCGATGGTGAATATGTCGTTTCACCTATTACCGACGTTGTGCTAAAGCACTCCATTGCTGTTCCGCACACCGTGGTGAGAGTATGCCACAATCAGACCCATCTGTCTCTTTTGAACTTTGGTTTCTCCACGCATGTGCTGCCTGCTGGTATTAAACTAGGCGTCATGTCGTCGTTGCAAGAGTGTGATATTTCTGAACTGTCGGCTCAGCAACCTACTCCGCACGTCAACTTGCTCACTGCGCCCAACCTGTCGAGCATTGACATTGCCAAAATGATAGCACCAGATCTTTCGCCCTCCGAAGCACAAGACCTCCACCGTCTGTTGACATCCTATGCGGACATATTCGATCTTGACAACCGCCCTTTAGGCCAGACATCAGTTGTGACCCATCACATCAACACCGGCGATGCCAACCCAATTCATCGCCGCCCTTACCGCGTCTCCGCTGCCGAACGCTCTGTCATCCAGAAAGAGGTCGAGAAAATGCTCGCCAAAGGCATCGTCGAACACTCATCTAGTCCGTGGGCATCCCCGGTCGTACTTGTCAAGAAGAAGGACAACACATGGCGGTTTTGCGTCGACTATAGACATCTCAACAAGGTCACTAAGAAGGACGTTTACCCTTTACCAAGAATAGATGACGCCCTTGACTGCCTTCATGGAGCAAAGTTTTTCTCGTCCATTGACCTTCGATCTGGTTATTGGCAGATCGCTGTTGACCCACTGGACCGAGAAAAAACAGCATTTGTAACCCCCGATGGGTTATACCAATTTAAAGTAATGCCGTTTGGGCTTTGTAATGCGCCGGCCACCTTTGAGCGCATGATGGACTCCCTTCTGCGCGGCTTCAAATGGTCCACTTGCTTATGCTACTTAGATGATATAATTGTTTTTTCACCGACGTTCGCAAGCCATCTAGAGCGACTGTCCAGTATTCTCCAAGTATTTCGCAACGCTGGTCTCCAGCTGAACTCCTCCAAATGCCGTTTCGGCCGTCGCGAAATAACTGTACTTGGTCACCTCGTTAACGCATCTGGTGTACAGCCCGATCCGGACAAAATTCGCGCATTGACTCAATTTCCCGTGCCCTCTTCTCATAAGGATGTCCGGAGCTTCCTTGGTTTGTGCTCCTATTTCCGCCGCTTCATCCGAAATTTCGCCGATATTGCGCGGCCTCTCACCGAGCTTCTTAAAAAAGACGTCCCATTTACTTGGAATTCGCCTCAGAGTGCTGCATTTTCGGCGCTCATTGCAGCCCTCACGACTACGCCAATATTAGCCCACTTCGATCAGACTGCCCCGACAGAAGTTCGTACGGACGCGAGTGGCAACGGAATTGGTGCTGTTTTAGCTCAGCGTCAGCATGGACGTGACTGTGTCATCGCCTACGCCAGCCGGCTTTTATCCCCTGCTGAGAGGAACTATTCCATCACCGAAAGAGAGTGTCTTGCTCTTGTTTGGGCTGTCGCTAAATTTCGCCCGTACCTCTTCGGCCGCAGTTTTACGGTTGTAACTGATCATCATGCACTCTGCTGGCTTTCCTCGCTAAAGGATCCCACGGGACGTCTCGGTCGTTGGTCTCTACGCCTCCAAGAATACACCTTCTCGGTCGTCTATAAATCTGGTCACCTCCATCAAGACGCCGACTGCCTGTCGCGGTATCCAGTGGATCCACCAGACGCCACAGAGAGAGCTACGGAGGCTTGCGTCTTATCAATATCAGACTTTCTTGATATCGCTTCTGAGCAACGCCGCGACCCGGATTTACTTCCCATCATAGAAAGCCTGAGTTCCGCTACTCCACCCACTTCTCTGAACTTGTATTTCCTTCATGAAGGAGTTCTCTACCGCCACAACATGCGCCCTAATGGTCCTGACCGCCTTCTCGTCGTGCCTTCCCATTTGCGTGTAGATGTTCTCCGACAGCTTCACGATGAACCTGCCGCTGGTCACCTGGGAGTCACCCGCACTTATGATCGCGTCCGGTGCCGTTTTTTCTGGCCACGCCTATATCGCTCTGTGCAAAAGTATGTCGCCAGCTGCGACCTTTGTCAACGTCGAAAACGACCAACATCGCTTCCAGCTGGCCTTCTTAACCCTATTGAGATCCCTGCTGAACCATTCTACCGCGTAGGGCTCGACCTTCTCGGGCCATTTCCCACTTCTGCATCCGGGAACAAATGGGTTGCCGTGGCGACCGACTACGCGACACGTTACGCGATCACCCGCGCTCTTCCAACCAGCTGCGCTACCGATGTCGCCGACTTCCTGCTACATGACATCATATTGCATCACGGCGCTCCTCGACAGCTCGTTACTGATCAAGGCCGATACTTTTTATCTCGCGTCGTCCAGGATATCGTACGTTCCTGTTCCACGAACCACAAGTTCACAACGGCATACCATCCACAAACTAATGGACTTACAGAGCGCCTGAATCGCACTATCACGGACATGTTGTCAATGTATGTTTCTCCAGACCACCGTGACTGGGACGCAACGTTACCCTACGTCACCTTCGCTTACAACTCCTCCAGACATGACACCGCAGGCTATTCTCCGTTCTACGTTCTTTATGGACGGGAACCCTCTCTGCCTCTTGATACACTCCTTCCCGCTGGTTCAAGCTCCCCTGTCACATACGTCCGCGATGCCATAGAGCGAGCCGACGCAGCACGACAGATCGCCCGAGAACGACTCATGCTTTCTCAAGCCTCTCAGAAAGATCGATACGATCGTCACCACCGCGAAGTTTCGTATGCACCAGGTTCTCTCGTACTCTTGTGGACCCCATGTCGTCACATCGGCCTCTCAGAAAAACTTTTATTTCGCTATGACGGACCATACAAAGTCCTTCGCAAGATCACCAACCTCACCTACGAGATACAGCGAGTCGTCGACGAAGCGCACTCAATGCCACCACCATCCACTGTTGTGCACGTCGTCAGACTGAAGCCTTATGTGTCACCCAACTCTCCCCTTTCGTGACAAGCGCCGGGTCGGCGCTTTAACGCCGCGGGGTAGTGCCACAAGGCAGTAGTGGGATTGGGGCATAAAGCAGTAGAGGGTCCCAGACTGAAAGAAAAGACTACGAAGTGGATAGAGACTGGTTCCAGCCCGCCAGTGCGCCAGGCATTGTCATCACGTGTAATCGTTGTAAATATCTGTAAATATACGTTTTCTTGTAAGAATATTGATGGCACACATGCTGTCACAATGTGTTGTGCAGTGTAGCAAGAAAATTGCTTGTCTTAGCGCAAGTCTGTCAAAAGCAATGTCCTTCAATATTAAATGTTAAGAGGCCTGTTATTCAGTAGTTGTGGGGTGAAGGGAGGGAGATGGTGTGTTGGGCACTTGTTCCTCCTCTTTCCTCCCCAATGAAAGTTAACTTTTCGTGATATAATGCTGAATCAACTTTCCAGTGAAGGCCATGCTAAAAAAAAATTTCTGGCTATGGCACTGCACACAAGATGTGGCAGCAATGTACTTTTCCGAGGCCGACAAGTTGGCACTCTTGAAGGTTTTGCTGGCAGCGATGCCCCTCTTGTTATCTGTTCAAGGTATAAGGGAGAAAAGGTTCCGTGCCAAGAAAGTTTGAGAATCTTGCTCTTGGCATTTGCTTCAGAAAAGGATTCCCTCTTGCATGCTGGTGCCATAGACAAGTGGCAGTTGCTTCGTCTAACTGGTGTGTTAGCGCTTCATTTTATGCTACTACAACTTCAACTTTTGAAATGTCCATGCAGGGGTTCAGTGCTCGAGCAACCGTGTGAAGATTTCACATGGAGGACGTTGTCGCAAGACCACCTGAACGCACATCGTTCTTCGCAGGAGGTCTTGGTTCTACAGACACAAGGTCTGACACCACAGGTTCAGGCGTAAGTATTTGAGATTTACTACTGAAGCAGTGTCGGGACTGAGTGTTTCCTGTGCTCTTGCTCGTCAGCAGTCGTGGCATATCTTTACAAGATAACTCGTTCCTGTGAAGGAGTCTTGGCGGCTAGAGCTACAGCTGCAGAATTCAAGCTGTGTAGTCTATGTTTATGGCTTATTACTCAGCAGCCCAAACGACGATCGAAGATGGGCAAGTAGAAATGACACAGGACACGTACTCTTCAATAACTGAAGCTTGTTATTGAGAAGGAAACACTTCAAATTAATTTTCATTTATATCATAATTACTATGCTAATTAAAAGCTACAAGTAATGCCCCACATGCTTTTCCTTCCTTTATTATTGGCATCATAAGACTGTGCTTATTTGTGCCTCTTTAGTTGCTGTGACGACATGCAGCAGTTAATTCTTCATATTGTGAAATTAGTGATAGCTTGTTTTTTTATAAAAAGAACTTATTCTTTTGAATAATGATATTCGTGTTGCACATTCTGTACGAGCTTTCAAAAAAAAAAAACAGAAAAAATATGTCTGCTAGCAGCCATGAAAATCTAACTTTCACCAAAGGGGCTGCTGTAGGCGGTTCAGCATGTGAAAGACAGTCAATGCCCCCGCCATTTGTTAGCTGAGTACTTATTTCAGTGCTGTGTGTGTTCACACTGTGATCAAAGGATATAGCTGGTTGTAACCGATTTGGAACCCTGCACTGGGGCACTTGGAATATTGTGTTGTGTCGTAGGAATAGTGTTAATGCGTAAACTTTTATATGTTATTCTTAATGTTGTTGTGTTTTAATGGGCGTCGGTATTCTTGGTCTGCATAAGAGAGAAAGAGGAAAGTCTGCCGAACATATTTTGTTGAATTTGGTTATAGCGTTAAAAGTTTACTTCATTAAACTTGTGATAGTGTGAGTAACTTTGTTACTTTAATGTTCCCATTCATTCTTGAAGACATGTTTAAGTACCAGCAGGTATATTGCACCATTTCTGTGTGCACCTAATATCCTTCTGGCTTGCAATACTTTTGAATGTTTCCATTCATTGCTTTTCCACTTTGATTACTAGACAGGTAATTTTGTACACTTTAATGAATGACAGGTCTGTTTATCATTCTATATAACTTTTTTCTAGGGAAAGAATATATAATTGTTGAAAAAAATAGTAAACATGTTTAGGTGTATATACCCATCAGTAAATGTCAAGATATGGGCTTGAAATAAAAATGCAAGAAAATTCCATAGAAAGAACAACTGATAAAACCAAGAACAAACAAGAAAAAAAAACAAGAATTGTGGCTTAGCATTCTTTCAGTGGAGCTTGAAGTGAGTGGTGACTATGTGGATTACTTGCAGACTGTGCAAGTCCTTGTGCCAGCGTTTGGAACGTCTCCTGGAGGAGCTGAGGCCGTGGGGCTCCATGGAGGAAGACTTGCAGCAAGCCACTGTAGCCATGCTTGGCCGGTGAGTGGACGTGCACACGGACTAAAGCTGTGACATGGGAGAAGCATTCTGATTTCTAATAGTAGTAGGGCTTGTTGACGAGCAGATAATTAAAGTTTTTTTAGAGGTTAAGCTAGTTAGTTTTGGTGCACCAAATGTGCGCAAAGACTGTGGGCAAGGATTCAGAGCTCGTGGAACTCTCTTTTCTCAGCCTTTCCATTGCAGGAGGAGAATCTCTTGATGTCTTGCTGGCTAACCTCCCTGTCCTTACGCATGTTTCTTTCTTCCTCATACTCTTGATATCTTGACTTGGGCGAGCTGGTGCATACTTGGACGAATGAGGTCAGGGGACACATCTGCATTATCTGTCTCCTGTCTTTGTCCTGGTCCTGCTGTATTCGTCTGAAGCCTCTTGAGTCGGCCAGCCCTCACTTGGCACCGATCCAGTCACTCTGGTAGACCACCTGCTGTACGCATTAAAGGGTGCCCGCTTTCGTCCCTTGTAACCTATTTTTCGTCTGTTCCATCCTGCTGTCTTATGGTTCTTGTAGTCTAAAGTGATTAATTTCGTTGCTTGTCTTGTTTCTATTGCTTCATCTCTTGATCGCACCGTGCTAGCTTAACTCTTTGAGGGTTGAATTAGTTTGAGGGTTGGAAAGCTGTAATAATCTTTTGTCTTATGGCCAACGAGACCGAGTTAGCTTTTTTTTTTTTGAGTCACCAAAACAAGAAATGCAGTCATGGCGGCATCAATTGGGTAATTTAGCACTGCATGGAAACAGATGTAATCGGGGCCTAGGGAGCAATAAACGAGAGAGTAATAAGCTGTCACTCTTTCAGAGGTTAGAAACCAGACAGCCATCAGTTATGCAGGTGGGAGAAGCGATAAGCCCTCAAAGAACGAAACCGAAACCAGCCACATAGCATGCACGCGTTCAAATGTGCAAGAGAAAGCCACTGCGTCACATTGGAAAGCAAAAAGAAAAAAAAAAAAACAATGGAGAAACATTGTCACATAAAAAAACTTCCAGGTATTCCTGAAGTATGGCAGCACTTGCTAAGCAAGAGAAATAATCGAAAAAGCACTTGTTTTACATATACAAGCAGTGCCATATATGTACAGCGAAAAAACCCTCAAAGCGTTAATGGCTAGCGTGCTGTGTTTGTGCGCTTGAGGATATTGGTTTGATTCCAAGGTGCAGCAGCTGCCTTTCGATGGGAATAAAGTGCAACAACACCAATGTACTTCATCATAACCCTTTGTGTATCACTTTTTTACAAAATGTGAGCCCATGGTGTCTGTTTTTCTAGATTATTGAGTGCTCTTATTTCTAAGGGCGCCCATATTGCTACAAAAATATTTTCCATATGCACAGGTGCATTGCTTATACATGAATAACAAAAATAAAGTAACAAAAGATACAAAAGGTAATTGCAGATTGGAATAAACTTGTTTTACAAGCTTAGAAAAATGTGCACACCCCATTATTGTCTCATTTGTATGAGCAGTTGGAATCAGTGTGCTGCTCTCGCTTCTGAGCTGTTGTTCCTTGATTGGATTCAGTGTAACAACTAGGCATTGATTACTCATGTCAGCAGCTGACATACTATAAAGCTTATTCGTTTAACATTGGGCAATAGTCTACATCGAACTGCTTGGATCACTTGCAGTATAGAAACCCATGGCAAGAGTGCTCTCACCAGAGAAGCCGGATCAGTGAGAAAATTGCTCTGCACTTCACTGACAAGCCATCAGTTTTTCCAGCTCTCAAGTGCCACACGGTATCATATCAAGTGACAGTATCATTCACACACAGTGACATTGTTTGTACATTCTAGTTCCCTTCCCTCAACTGCTGCAATCATCCTCCTGTAAGCATTAACCATGGTAGTATCAAGTAGACACCCTCCAAGAGATTGAAAACCAGATAAATATCAGTTGGTATGAGTTCAGTGAGGTCCAGGAGTGTGGGAGGGGCAGTTTTCCAAGAAGGTAGTCCTGCCGAGGCACTAGCAGAATCGCGTGCCTCTTCCTCCTGGTATTTTTCTCTTCCTCCATGGCCAGCAAAGACTCTTCTTTACTTCAGTAGCCGCTCTTTGTTGTGCAACTCGACCATACAACCACTCACCGCAGTTGATGTTTCAATTTTTTGCCTCTGTCTTCTTTTGCTGCAGCAACAAGACATCACTACACTGTAATTGTGGAAAAGCATATTTTGTTACATCAATGTTAAAATATAAATACACCGTGTTCAAGAGCCAGAAAGTTATAAAAAGTGAAATATTTTGTTACATTTATCAAGGTTTAAATTTGTGTCCTGACACGTTTTTAAAAATATTTTTACCATGACCAAGGAAAAGTAAAAGTAAATTATATTTACTTTCTTTTTGCCACCTATAAAAAGTTTAAATTGTTTCACATGGATTTTGAGGCAGAAAAACTTGTCAGCAGTATGCCAGACACATGACACGAATTTTAGCTTTAATGTGGCTCTCCTTCATTTACTGGCACTCATGCTTTACAAAAGCAAAATATTATTCTTCCAGGTGGCATTCCTTCGTCAATTCGGAAATGGCCCACTCTACCGACACAGACTGGTGAGTGATTGTAGTCAATCAAACGAACTACATCATTTCTTAGCAGTCAGCAATGCTGGCTTTTCTTTCACAAGGTCTTTCTGCTAACATGTGCACACTGAAGTGTTCTGTCATAACATAAGACAACATTATACAAACGTTACAGGCAAGGTTCTTTTTGGTGGGTGAGGGGAAATGTTGTTCACTGTTCTGTTTGCTTACCTGCTACAAATATAAACAGTTACAGTTGCCTAAATGAAAAAATAATTGTTAACAGTACCAAATATGGCCTCTAAAAGTAACTGATGAACTACTAACCAATTATAAACTTATATTACTTTCCTTTCAATTTACACATTTCTTGGAGAGTTCTCGCCAAAAAAGTGGCTCTATGAACAGCTCACTCATAGAAAAATTCTACAATTCGACAGAGCCAAGCATCACACCAGGGTTTTCGATCTCGAAATCTGTCTTGTAGATTGAGGTGCGACCTTCTCTTGATATCTTGGTTTTTTTTACTTAGCTATGAATTGCATCCATTACATAAAATTTATTTTATTTGTGGGCAAACAGTGTACAAAGTCTCAATGGAGCAGTCAGCACACTGCAGCATCTGCAGCATTACGACTCATTTTGCGAGCTCCCAGGTCATGCCCTAGGCGTCAAGTGACGATTTGTTAGTTACGGTAATATCAATGATCTCAGTGTTGTCATTGTGGTGTCGTTTTGGGGTGATGCCTGGCTGTGGCTTTAGTTTCATTTGGTTGTCTGTTTCAAATCTTCGGTCTCATCGCACCACTTTAAATTATTTGTCGTCTGCTTGTCAGCATCTCAACTGTATGGCAACATGTCTTAAAGCAATTGTGCGCATCTTATAGCAGTGGCATTTCTTGTACCAGAAAAAGGAATGTTTTAGTCACGAACAGCTGTAGGTCGTTTATCTCTCCACGCATCTTCGTTATGCATAAAATGCTTGCCTTGCACACACCTAGACTGTACTGGTCATTGGAGTTGGATGGTAACATGGGTGAAATGCGCCAGCATCGACGTCTGGCTAGGGTCGAGATATGCAGACTGCCGAGAGGGCGTGTGTGTTCAGGTTAACGGTGAAAGAAGGCGAGCCCAGTGCAATGGAGGAATCTGCAGGCAATAATAGTGTCCTGAGCAATGCGGAAGTATTTCATCTTAATAAATTGTTGATTAAACCATTTGTTGTTGTTAGCCATCGGACTGCTTACTTTTGTGGACAGGCTAAGGGGCCTGCCCAGTTCACAATGTTGCTTCCTGTTCTGTATTCTTGCGAGCCAACATGGCCAAAGCATGCGTCTCCAGGCGCCTCCTCATTGCTGCTTGAATAAGCGTCGATCTCAGATTCACTTTTTTGAAACTGATTGTTCATGTCACGAATTGCACCGATTGCTCGGTGTTTTCCTGATCACTTGTAGACACTGACGACTGCGGCGATGATGACTTTGGTGACCAAGAAGACAGGATTACACTTGTGCACCAGGCACGCGAAATGTCAGCTGCAACTTGCTATTGTTTTGTGTGGCCATGCGCTAAGGTGCAGCTCTTTTGGGATCAGGTGCAGCTATTTTGACCGCCGGAGTGGCTGTGCGGCAGCGCTGCCAGCGTTGCGAAGTGGCGGACCTGGCATTCGTTTCGAATAGCACTCGATACTGGTCATACTTCAGATATTTATTACAGATGGTAATTCGTCTCTCCGTTGCAAATTAATATTGTTCGTTATTGGAACACTTTATAGTTGGTTGTTATAAAAATAAGAATATGCAATTGAAACGTGTATTACTACACTTGGCAACCTCTGGCATACAGCAGTCGTATTCTGCCAGTGTTACAAAATGCTTTATATGGACATGAGCTATGTGATCAGTGCTGATCTAAGGGTTTACTTATTTAACGTCATGAATCGCTCTTACTGCATTGCGGACTGTGGATTTAGTAAGTTATAATAACATATGCCTGTGCAAGGCAGGGCACTCGCCAGTGGTGAGTGCTAATGAAAAACATTATCTGCAGTAATGAATGCACAGCTTGTTAATGCCTGCTTCTGTGGGTAGGCTGATAACATTTAGCTTCTGCAGCATTGTACCGGCCCACCGTAGCTTATCGCGGTTTGTTCTACTGGCGCTCTGTACACTACTAGCAGCTTGTTCATAGCAGTGCAAAATGCAAATTGATGATATAAAAAGATTCGCATATTGGGCAAGTATTATAGAGGCAGCTCTGATAAGACCCGACGGTGGAAGGAAATGTGCTTTTTGCTAGGAAGCCACGCAAAACCAAAGTTCACTTTGAAGCAGCCTTTACAGGTGCACTGTCACTATGGGGAAACTTGAATGTATGGATGACTAAACTTGTGGAAATGAAAAGGGCCCGTACAAGTGCCTCTTTATGTGTCTCGTTATGTAGGTGCTTTAGTTTGGTACGGAAGACCAGCCATCTTGGCTATCTAATTTATTACACGCATACACATTGAGTAGGCTGGTTTCATGAAGCCAGAAAGCACAAATTCATTCACTCAGAAAACACCAGTGTGCATTAACCTCTGCGACAGCTCAGTGGAATCACTCAGTTGCGGTGCTGGCAAAGCTTCCTCCTTACATTTCAGGCTAGCATTGCTGGGACAGGTGTGCCAGGGGCTTGCCGAGCTGTGCCCCGAATTGCGCCTGTGCTTTCCTGCCAAGAAAGGTGCCCAGGCGAGTTGCAGACTGATGTTGTCACAGAGTGAATTGTGCAAGTTTGATTTCCCAGGTTTATTTACTATTGTGGCATAGTGTGTGACAGTCTGTGCATAGATGTGAGCAGAGATAATTTTGTTCCCAATTTTTTCATTAAAAATGGAGCAATGTACAAAAATGTGGTCACTTTTATTTGACAGGATCCTTGGCAGAAAGAGCAACTGTCCTTGCGAACACTTCGAGATTCTGCATACAAGTAGGTGTTCCACAATGATGCGAAGCACTTTTTTCTTTAAAAGCGTGACACCAAAAATCATCGAAATTCTGTTTGCAAGAAATGTCCAGTGGACTTTTTATGTAAGTGACGCAAGAACATGGCGCCTGTCTCTGTTCATTCTTTCTGTGTCCCAGTATTTCTTGCGCATACCAGTTTTACGTTGAAACATTGTTGATATGGTGGTGAGGAGACACTTCTGGCTACAGCAGGCACATAGCCAGAAAAAGTGCCTTAGCCTCTTTCCCTCCGATATTATGATAAATTGAGATGTTTCACCAAAAATAAGTAATGAAAATGGGAGCTTTTTTAAAATTGTCAATGTGCTCTTCAGCAAAAGTGCCTCCCCCTCTCTGCTTTTTGAAAAAAATTCTTGCTACAGGCCTGGACTGCAGTAGCCAGGTATGGCTGTGTTGGACCACAGCGACTGCTTTCGAATGGGCTGTAAAAATTAGGCTTGCCTTAGTGTTGCTCCTTTCTGAAGTCAGTATCGGATGTGATACTGGCAACCATGATAAAACTGGCGATAAAGTTTCACTTCAGTATTGCAAATGTGACTGTAATATATTATAGGCACCAATTGAGCATTCCTAAAATTTCCATCTGCCCCCCTTTGCCACTACAAGAGCTAGCATAGGCAAAATACAAAGCATATGTTCCCAGACTCCCTGCCCCCCTGAAGGAACCCCCCCAGTAAAAAAGTGCTGGTGCCACCCCTGATAAAGTGCTCCAGTGTGCAACATAACATAATCCTTGGCATTATCGTTGTCAAACACATGATAATTGCTAAATGATCATGTGCTTCTTTTACAGGCAAAGCAAAATCTTATTGTTGAGTGTTGATGAAAGAGGAGAAAGTGAAGAGAAAAGCTTCATTTATTCCGAACTTTTTGTGCCATGTCCTAAGGTTGATACAATGATTTAATGTCAGAGACTTCATTATTTTTTTTTTCTTGAACAGAGCTCACTAAATGCTCTTGCATCTTGCCAAGTGCAGTCTCAAACTTTCCTAATATGCAATTTGATCACCTTTTATGGATGAATATTCAACCAGGGCTACACAGACACTGCCAGAGTTCATGACAGCACAGCCACCTTTTGTGAGAATTGAAAAACAGCATCACCCCAGCTTTTCTTTCCTAGCTTAGCTCTTTATTTTTTGAGGGACTTCGAGGATTAAAAATTGAGCAGCCATTTCAAGGAACGTCCTCTATTTGCATTGCTTTGTGCAGAGTCTTTTGCAAACCAAAGTAAAACAGAAATATATTCACAGTGAAACTAGAACGGAAAGTCGATGGATGTCTAAAACTGTTCAGCAGGCACAATGTCATCGAATGATAATGATATTTCTTTGTTTCCCATTTAACGTGTGAAGCAGTGGGATGAAAAAGTCTTAGAGAGACTGCTTGAAAGACACTTTCTATCATTTTGCATAAATACGAGTATTTGTAAAAATGATCACGCACATTGAATAATAGCTGCTCCCATTGCACCACATTTGATCTGTCGTGCCTATATGGGTAGTGCTCATCAGTAATGAGGGGCTTGTGTTTAATCGGAGCAAAACTTGAACAAGTGGTTGCTTTTTGCAGGTCATGCTTTACTCTGGTTGTACAGCAACAGGCAGCATCTCTGAGTGAACAGCTGAACACACTGGACGATTTCATGTCTGCAATGCTGGTATGGGTGTCCTTATTTATGACTGCGCTGCCATTATGACATTAGTTATTTTAGCTAGTCTGTGTAGCAGAAAAATTACGATCAGGTGGCACCAGTTTGATCATTTAAATATGAAGATTATATGCATAGTAAATCAAACCGTCCAGCAAGTAGACAACTTTTAATGTTTGTGTTTTATTATTTGTTGTTAAATGCAATCGCAGGGATGAATCTATTTAGTGCTTGAGGTGCATACAGTTTGTGGTAAAGTCAATAGGCCATGGGATCGAAGAAAAGCCTGAATATTTCGATAGTACTTCCGTGTTTGTATTTCAACAGTGTGTTCATGTATGTGTAATAGAAGTGTACATGCATGCATCTTCAAGATGTGGCACGAATTCATAGGCATGTACAGGGTTCACCGTTAGGGTCTGCTAAGTTTCACTGCAATGCCCACCCCTCCCATTCAATCATTAGTTGAGTCTGAAAGACAGGAAGCATCTCAATGAATACATAAATGAAAATTGAGTGGTTATGTGCTTCTCACAATGGCCTGTCCTTGGTCACTGGCTTTTTGGTGGTAAAAGTGGGAACTAAACAGCTATAGAGTGCTTATTTGGGCCGGTTGGTACATATTCAAGGAAGCGGGAAACAATGCAAAACGCAGGACGATGACTGAGACGGGCCAGGCACTGATTTTCTTTTTTTTTTTACAAGGTAGTGTACATTTGCACATTGATCATGAAAAGATGTGTGAGAGGGGGAGAACAGGGACAAGGCATCTGTTAACAATTGTATGTAATTATAGGAAAAATGTGTTAGCCATGACTCATTTGAAAGATACTTAAGTTTCTTGGTGACAAGTGTCATCGATGGCTTGTCCACACACATATCACCCTTTTTCTCAATGCATTTGGCCTCGTATATTTCACGTGCTCATCATAAGTCCTGTGTTTCGATACATTTCTGCTTTTCTTGAACTAAGCAGGTTTGGAATGCAACATTATTTTTATATAACCTGATAAAACCTGCATGGTCATAACCCTGTGCATAAAGCACTGATGGGACAGGTGCAATGAGCAGAAGTACAGGGTGGACTTTGTGCCCCCATTCGATGATTGGGGGGTGTCACCCCCTTCCCCCTTCCTGCCTCGCTGTGCACATGCCTATGCTCAAAGTGTCTTACTGTACCACTGAGAAAAGAGAAGCTTCCTGAGATAATAGTATGTAGTACATTTGAAAGCTGGATATCAAAACTCCTGATAAAATGTGGACATAGCTGCCATCAATTTCTTTTTGCAGCGTTTTCTTTTCTGCAGGATAATAAACAAGTTAATTGGTAATGAGTTGTTAGCGATGTAAGTGCATCTTAAATGACATTCCCTTATCTACAAGCAATGTCTTGTGTAATCTCTACTGCTCTGCAGTGCTGGGGAGAAGTGCAAGTCCAAGAGGAATCTGAGGGAGGACAGCAAGTGCAGTCGACCTTGCGGGTGCCACTGCAGGTGGGCATGCCTTGGCATCAGCTCTTTAGACAGAGCAGTTAGGTATATGGCTGCAGGGATCATGAGTTAACTGTGCCTGTGCTGTCTCTCTGGCCTGTGTTCCTGCCTGTTATCTGCAGTACTTCTCAAAGATCATTATAACAAAATTGTATCTTACACGAAGATAAGTTCGTTACATACAAAAATTCGTTATAAAAGTTTATTTTTAACATTATGTCTATTGCAAGACTATATTTAATTTACTTTGTCATAACCGATATTTTGTTGTATTCAGGTTTAAATGTATTTTACAATGCACTCGTACCAACTAGCTCGGCTTTCCTTACTACTACAAATACTCACCAACTGAAAGGCATACTGATATGTATATATATTTTTTCGGTCATAGAATTTCAGTACTTGCCTTGCTTCTAAAAACAATGAGAGAGGACTAGCTGTACATTTTGCTTGTTTGCTATAAAGCTTTCTTTCAATGAAATCTTTTTAATGACGCTTCACATCATGGCAATATCATTTACAAGCACAAACAGTTTACAATGGTTCAGAAAAACTGTGCTTCAAAGTTTGTACCAAGGTTGCACATGTGTCCTATATCCTTTGACTGTGCAGGTGACAGTGCCACTGCAGGAGCTGCTGTTTGCTTTGTGCCAGCAAGTGAACAGGCTGTTTGGCCACTGCATGCCCAAGTGAGTGCTTCCTGCTGCCCTGCAACAGACCAGTTATGTGCATCCTGTTAGGTGTTTGTTACAGCTCCTTGGTACCTCCGTTGCTATGGTTCATGCTCAGTGTGCTTATTTACTTGAAGAGTACGTCATGGAGAGTGTGGTACAAAGTGATACAAGACGCATAAAGGCATGTGTACCTCATATACACAGTAAATGCAAGGTTAAATCAGTGCCACTGAGAGATATTTAATTTAGTTTATTTTACCTTCAAGATACAGATGCACATTGCAGATGGCAGGAAGAAAGGTCAACTATATGGGCAACATAAACTTGGTTATAAATACAAAGTATAGGTAATCATAAGATTTTGAAAAAGTTTTATAAAACATCAAACTTGCAAATAAATAATCCAAGAAAAGAAGCATATAGAATTTACCCAGTAATGTTAGAAAGCTTGCTCATTCAATTGATGGCAAAAAGAGAAAAAGGACTGGTAATCAATGAGATGGCAAGCATAACAAAAATATAACTTATGTGGTATAAAATTAAAATATGAGCCATACCTTGAAAATCATTCAAGAGGGTGGTGAGCATAAAAGGAAGTATAATATACCAGTCAGTCAATCGCATTATTTATAGACAAAACTTCAAAGCATTATTTCGAAGTTGCTTTTAAGTTGGTGAAGTCAAGTTATTCCAATCTTTGCTTATTTGGGCATGCATGATTAGGTAGTATACATAAGCAAGTGGCTAGAGCAAGAGAATCAAATACAGTTGAATATCAATAACTTCAAATCTCAATTTGATTAATAATTGAAGTTCTACGGCTGGTCCCAAAAAGCTGCATGTACTTAAGCTACATCTGCGAATTTCAACACTAAGGATTGCTCATCCGTTACCTGTAATAAAGCTTTATGTCATGTGCCACGCAATGCCAATAGGCAAAATGATTTCTACACTTACCTTAGTGGCTACTGGGGGCGCTGACTGATGCTCCTATGTTTAAATGTACATAATGTATACCCTATAAAGTGGACGAAGAGGTGACCGCCATCATAGCTCACTAGTAGAGCATCTGACATGTTATTCGGAGGTGACAGGTCTGGTCCCTGCCGACAGCAAGTTATTTTACTGTGAAAGCTGTTATGAGATCACAACACTGCACAGCACAGTCACAGCTTTCGCTGTGACTGTGCTGCACGTTCTGCACACACCTGGCAGTTTTTTTCATTGACTTTTCTTTCTTCACATTTGCATTACAATCAGCATATATTTTCTTTGGCATTATTGTTTATTATTAACTCTCAATATTAAAGTTTGTCACTTCTATGACTGCGTTTTATGAAAAATGCTCGCATTGCATTGACTATTGCTGCACCGTGCTTCCAAAACTTTGGCAACACTAGGTACATGTAGGCAGAAGAAGCAGCAGGCCATCTTGGATCCTTCGAGATTATCTGGATATTATCTTAGATTATCTGCAACTCAAAGAGTGCCAGTGCGGTCTGTCACTAGTACAACCTAACAGCGCTCATTTTTTGATGGTGCAGCCTTTATGAGCAGACTTCGCTTGGCCAATGAAAAAGCAGATGTGTGGGTGCCCACTCCACTTGTCGGTTAAAATCTTGCCACTCTGCTTTCTTTTATTGCCGACACATGTATGTTGACGTCAGCAAGAAATATTAGCATTGTTATACTGAGGTTTGAATGAGCGTGCCTTTCTTAGGGGCATCCAGTCTGAAGTTGGCCAGCTGCTGATGTCCTCTCTGGAGCCAGCTTACATACGCTCGTGCCAGGCGTTAGTGACGCAGCAGTTACCACCTGCTCTTTGTCAAACCTGGGCTCTCCAGCTGCTCATGGACTTGCACGTCCTCAACCTGCTCTTTCAGGTACGATGCATATAGTTGATTGGTTGTGCTTAAGCTGTAGGAAACTTTACTTGATCGTAACATTTCTATTTAGAAATGTGTGCTTCAACTCCTGCATCAATTGGGTGTTGCCCAATTTGAAGATAAGAGGAAAAAACATAATTTTGTATGAATGTGCTATGTAGACAATGTATGGTAGACAGAAGTGTAAAGATAGTACAGGGAGGGCATACTACTTGCAGACACTAGCCAAGGCAAAGGGTTTTGACTAGTGCTAGAGGTTTAGAGTAGTGAGAGTAAGTGAGAAGAAAACAAGAGTCTCAGCGGAGGGTCTCCATTGACCGTCGCTCTTGCTTCCTCTGGCATTGTAACAGGATAGTTCAGTATCTCGCGGCATTTCAAACCACTGTGAAAAATTCTTCAGGTAACACAGCACCGAGATGGCGCTTAAAGACTTTCAGTGTGTCAGCAATATTTGCAGTGAGGCTTGGTGAATTGACCTTTAAGCTAAACTTGACATTGTCGGGGAAGATTTCGAAACACATGTGCTTTCAGAGTGAAGTACACAAAAAGGAATAATGATTCATTGTTTATTGTTCACTAGTATTGTTCTGCACGTACATTGTTCTTTGTAGAATGGGGCTTTTACACTTCAGCCAAACTGAGCTCTCAGATAACTTTTGTTTGGTATAGTTAATTAATTATTAAGAGTAAAATGAATGAGCATACATAATTTGATGATGTCACAATCAAAGGTAGTGCTATCTTATAATTAGTTTGTGTAATCAGCAGTGCTCTCTTAATGTCTTGCTTCCTGCTTTTGACAGAAGTGGTACTACAGAGACCATGCTTGGTTCAAGGAAAGTATATGCCCCGCCATAATTAAGTAAAACTTGCACAATGTGAAATACAACTCTGCTGGTTTTTCTCCTCTCTTTCTCTCTTCAGGGTGGTACGCTGAGCACTGCTCGAGCAGCCGTGGAAGCTCAGGTGGACCCCTTTGACTTGGATGTCTTGATGCCACACCTGGGGCAACAAGCCAGCTTGGCAGCCCAGCAGACATCGGTCAGTGCTACAGTATCAGTGCCTCTAATCTGCATCCGTGTACTTCTCTTGGCAAATGGAACTCCTGTTAAGTAGAACACGTTTTCCCAATTCCTTAAAGTGTCGTTTAATGAAAATCTGCTGTAGTTGAGGTCTGTTAGCAAATTACACATTTGTAGTTTAAAAGCAAGCATTCCTGCTTTGAGAGCAAGCTTGGCAAGGTGCAAAAACTACACGTGTGCAAGCAGTGGCATAAACAGGGAGGTAGTTTGGTAAGTTAAACTCCCCCGATACCCCTGTAATTATTATGTTGTATGTGTGTGTGTGTGTGTGGGTGGGTGGGGGGTATTGGGTGTCCCAACCAACTTTCCCCAAGATGTTTAAAAAAGCAACCAAAAACTAGAGGAAAGTTGCATTAACTGGATATCAGTGATAGCCATTTGCACTTACAACCAGGGGTATTTTGTTAGTTATACTTGAATAGTCAACTTAATTAGTCAACTTCTAATTATTACTTAAATTTGTAACATATCAGGTTCATAATGCTGAAGTGATGTTCGTTAGACTAGTTGGTCACACATTTCTACATAGGAAAATCAGCGTAAAAGTAGACGAAGTAAAATAGAGGAAAATGGTGTTTACATTCAGAAGTATTAAGCAGATTGGTTGAAAACACTTAAGCTGTCTAAGGGAAAGGCTAGTCTCAAAATATGCTGTCTAAAAAATGCCGAGACTCTTGGCCAAAACAATAAAGCATGGTTAGAGCTACAGCAGTGTAGTGTACTTGAAGAAAGTGGTGGCGTGTGTGCAGCTTCTGCTGGGCCTCTGTCTTGGCGATGTGGGGGCTGGCCGATTCCTGGTGTCGGGACCCTCGGGCAACAAGGCACCTCCCGCATCACCTGTGGTGCTGCCTGTGCTTGCTGCGGGAAGTCAACGCTTCCCTTTGTTGCCCACTCTGTCTAGGTTTCTTGATGAAAGCCCACTAGGCACCCAAGGTACTTCCGCCAGTGGCCCTGACGGAAGCAGCAGTTTGGCAACACCGCCTCCACCACCAAAGGTAGGTTCATTCAACTGTTGTTTTTTTCTTGTTTCTGTAATTAATAACAGGCTTTGCATTTACAAATATTAATCATTATACAGTCAGTATCACACTACTATCATATTCCTGTCACCCTGCAATAACATTCGTGTTAAAATGATTTTAGTGAGTAGCATCGCCATAAAATATTTAATTCCTAGCCGATACTTGATTATCAGTCATTTAATGATTATACTTCATTATTAGTCTTTCTTCTCTTTGGGCACTCCTGTCCCTGATACTACATGTGTCATCATATCCTGTTTTCATCACACGTAATGCTTGTGTCATTTGCAGTGGGTCACCTTACTAGGACACATTCATCTATCTGTCATTCCTTTGCAGAGTGCTAAACAAAGTTGGGTAGTGTGCTAATTTTAAAATGTTTTTTTTTTTTTTCATAGCATCTGGCTGGTGTTTATGTATGAGTTGTGGGTGTGTACGTATTTGTAATAGTTTGTGTACAGAGTGTTCCCTGCAGATCTTGTTTGTCACCTTTGATGGTTAACAGCTTATTGACTTCACCACATTTAGCGCTCTAACAAAAATGATAACAGCTAATCAGAAATCACAGCACATGAAGCCAGTTCTATTGTGAGTATGCGTTTCCACATACAGTGGACTTCTGCAGGATTATCAGGGCAGGTGAATGTTATACATCCACATGCCATTGACGCCTTTTAACTAGGTCTGCGAAAAGTAGTGTTGGAAAGTATTGAGAAAAGGGATAGTTAAGATCACTGCGTGATAACCCGGCCTTGTGTTCTTTGTCAGACAAGGAAGCTGAAAGGAATACAGGCCTACAATCAGTGTCATTTTTCGTGATCAAGTCTATGGTAGCCTGTGAATATAGGCAGCAGGTTATCAGTGCGGTAGAAGGCTGCACACACTTGCCAAGTTCTAGTATGGAATGGAAAATAGCATTTGCATCACAAAACTTCTGTTTTGAAACAATGATGCTTGTTCCTTGTGGGGTATTGCTCTTCAGCAATATCGATTGGACATCAAAAAGTGCTTCAATTGGCTTCCCTAGAAGAGAATTACGCTCGTAATCCTCAGGGGTGGTACAAACATGGTAACCTTTCCTGCTCGCTGTAGCACGGGAAGTTCACTGAGTTGGCAAGAACGTGGAGGTTGGTTCGCCGTGTGGGAATTCACGGTAGTGTATGTTGTTATTGAAGCTTTGTTATCCTTGTTCAAATGGTGTGGACACTGAAATATGACATCAATCTGCACATTTCACTACGACCGACTGGGAAACGAGGCTGACAAGAGCTTTTGAGACACAGCACCAACAGCAGTGCATATCATAAAATGAAAACTTTAAGAAGGAAGCAGGGTCACTGCAGCAGAACAAAACTAGAACTTCTCTCAGCACTGCTGTGCAAAGATCACCAAGGACGTTGTATGTAACATGTGGTCTCTGGTCACTGGATGTTTCTTTATTCTCAAAATTCATATAATTTACATTTCCGTCGTAACGTATAGCAGCAGTTGAGTGATCCAGGTTTCACGCCTTATGACTATTACACTAATGCACGACGGGTGGAGCCCCTCCAATTTCTCTGATGTATTCTTGTTTACGAATGCTGTATTCTCTTAGGAGTGGTGTACTTGTTATTACAATAGCCTAATCTTTTAATTTAGCTTGACGTAATATTTTTTTAATGTACCCTTATAGTACTTGAATGCAGATTCTTTGAGAGTTTGAGAACCAGATAAGCAAACTCATAAATGCTAGCAAAAATTATACATATAAGAATTATATACTTATAAACTGTATCAATCTTCCTGGAAATATAGGAATTATATAAATATAAATTGTATCAATTTTCTCATTCTCACTTGGCTGTTTCTCATGTTCTAGTCTTATTAGCAACAACTGCTTTTCGATAATGCACCTTTTGTTCCTCAGAGTTCCTCAGGGCCTGACCTTGCTGTTGCTGCAACATCTCTGACAGCCAGTCAGTCAACGCCAACATTTAGTGCCTTACCCTCATTCTACGAGAAAATGGCCACTAGCATGCGATCTTCCTGGTTTGGACCGATGTGATGCAATCCAGGCTTTTTCTGTACAATATACATTTGTAAAAATAAACAGACTGCAGCAGGTTGACATGTGTCTGTTTCTTGTCCTCACTGTTGTTCCACCACTTACAGCCATTCAACTTGGCCATTCCAAAGGGAAGGCGTATGCGGCAGTGAGCATCAACCATGAGAGTAGTATCGCAAACTCAGCAACGGTCCGCACGAGAGTGGCTGAAATATCAGAGTAAGCAGTGATTGCGTTGGCCTTGCTGGACAACAGGAAGTACACAGTTTACAGCGACTCAAAATCGACTGTCAGAGCATTTGCTAAAGGCATAATATCGGAACCAGCTTTGCGGATCCTTCGGAAGAAGGAAATCGAGCCACACACACTCAATGGGTTTTCAGCTCACACGAAACGCATTGAGAGAACTCTGCTGCTCAATCTCAAAGGATTACTGACATCAAATTTACTCATGCCGAGATTTTTGCGTCAGCGAGTAGCTATAGACCTCATAGCAGTGATTCGCGACCTAAAACGCAACTGAGGGATGAATAACTATCACTTTTATTGATTGATATTGCTAGTATCTAGCACTATTGAAAATGGCCAGCAATCCTGTCATTAATAGCGCTGGGAGCACCAGCAGTGGCGCTACGTCGCGGTCAGATCGCGCCACAGCTGACCACTTCTCCACAGAAAAGAGTGACGTTAAGCTCAGCTGCACCGCAAACATTTCGTCTGCTAGGCGGACATCTTCAGTCATCCCTTGTCACCTGCATTGCTGTCGTCGCCGTACAGAGCGTCAACTCGGGTTGAATATGATACTATGGAGCTTAGAATCTCCGTGATTCGTGACGTTGCGAATTAATTTTGCTTATATTGACCTTTTGCAGAACAGTGATTCCGAAATGGAGCAGCACTGTAGAGGTGCCCGGGAATTCACGCTTTAGCCATGCTCGCTCGTGTGTCTCAGTTTGCTATATTGGTGTGTTTTGGTGAGCAAAGCATTCAGGCGTACGCAGAGGAGTCAATGCAATATAGCTATCGCAAACGAGCATCATCGGAGAAATAGAATAAGTTTCCCGCTTGCTAGGTACTTTTTTGCATCTCCAGATGACCCCACTTATCCAGCCTCTCGTGGTTAACTTGGTATTACCACTTTTACGTGGATGCAGAGTCTACAGATTAACTAAAATTCAACGAAACCTGCGTGTTACTTGTTAGTGATGATATCTGACAATACGCTGTTCCACTTTTGATAGCTTTTAGTCGTGTTTATGTGTGACACATACGTGATATGGAAAGACATCCTCATTGTGCTTTTTCTGTGCTTCAAACTAGGTGACTGCAACTCACCTGCGATTCACAACGATTCCCTGACATGCTGACCGACAAGCACACGTTTAATCATGCTCTTTTTTTTTTTCGCCGTTCTTCTAAAGGTGGTTTTTATCTTGATAATTTCACGAAATCATTCAAACCGGTGCGACGAAAATCAGACGCGACGAGCGAGTGCGTTTCTGTGCTTCGGAACCATGGTAAGAACACTCGGATTGTACACGTCATCGCTACTAGGACATCGTCACTCAGGGTGGTATTTGTGAAATGTATGACACCAAACACATAGCACTAGTGTCAATGTCGCAGGGTAGTCTTTTTTTCGTTTTTTCTCTTCAGCTTTTTTATGCTGTTTGACATCGAATTGAAATAACTTCCACGTGACGGATGCCGTTCAAATTTGGCCAAGAAGACCTATGCATACCAAGCGTTCGAATGATGGGCACATCTCGATCTTGAAATTTGATGTCAGTGCTTCTTTAATGAGTCAGCCCACATAGTTGCGCGAGGACTATTAAACCGCATAGCTATCGAGGCGGTGCAGCGCTGACGTTTTGGCAACCCGAGACTCTTTCATCTTGTATAACGAACTGACCAAACGTTTTTACCTGGCGTGGAGACAATACCCTCCACCACACAGAAAACTAAGCAGACCTCAGGCTGTGACACTCGGGCTCCTTCTGCGATGATATAGCTAACTTGGAACACATGCTCTGACGGTGCTTCACGTTACGCTGTGGTGAAGTCATCACGGCGTCCAAATGGGAGGATGCTATGGACCTTTTTTTACGAACAGGAGGATTTTGTCCTTTCTGGACTGTTTCATGAGAGTAGAAAAGCCGTGTCAGAGCCGCGGCAGTGCATTTTTTAGGGGGTCACGTGCACTAACAACACAGCCCAGAGAGGACTATGGCGGCGCCCAGGGAGCCTTGAGTGAAAAAATATATTGCCAGCTCCAAACTCGAATAACAGTTATGGGCAGCCCAATGGGCCCGGGACGCAGCGCTGAAAATGCGACACTATTCACAAAAGAAGGCCTGCAGAAGAGACTATATATCATCTTTCGACGACATTTGCAGTGAAGCACGCATTTACACCGCCTGTTTTTTTTTACTCTTTTATTTTCTTTTTTGCTGTTGCCTTTATTTTGTGTTTTGTACATAACCCGAATCAATAGTATCGCCCTAAGCGCGCGAGCGCTGGAGACAACTGCGGCGGAAGCAGAGATGAAACGAACTGGTCCTCGCACGGAAGTCGCATATGCGATATCAGCCTGCCTTGTGATGCCTGCCAACGATTACTATCAGGCAGAGAGAAAATGCTCCCTTTTCTCGGGCGAAAGAGCAAGGAGACCAGGGGAGGGGGGCTGCTCCAAGCATCAAATGTGAACTTAATTTTTTGAGCTAAGGCGTGGTGCTATCTCGGAAGATACCACCGAAAGGCTCGTATGCCTTCTCGTATGCCTTCTACGTGCGGTGCTCTGACTGCTCGATGACTCCCTGGAGCGGCCGTATGTATGTATTTCCGGCGTTTCACTGCGGAGCTGTTAAAGGACCCCTGACACCAAATTTGCGAACTCGAGATGCTTAATTGTGTTGTTTTGGAGTGCTGCATGCGGGACCACGTGTCGCATAAGTCGCCTCCTATAAGTGGAGAGTGAGCGCCATGTCCGAATGAAAAAAAAAAAAAAAAGTCACAGCTTTGTCACTAAGACTAAGCAATGAACATGATAGCAACAAATTGGAAGGCCACGCGAAGAATGATAAGCAGATCGAAAGGTGCCCCGCGTTTCTCACTCACGAATGACGCACGAAACGTAATCACAGGTACAAACGCTGGTGAAAGAGAACACGGCTGCTCCAGGTACACTCTCGGCACCGTTTTTTCATCTTGAGAATGCCGCCCGTAGAAGCTCCCGCCTGCTGTGGGGGCACAAGGCGCGCGCTGATCGTTGCCGCGATAGGCATAGGCGCCCACCGGTTGGATTAGCGCGCGCGCAGACGATCGCGGCCTGAAAGGCGATGTTCGCTCCGCAGAAAGAGGCTAGCGCATCCTTCCCCGTGCATATATACGTACATATACATATACGTGAATGACGGCGGCGCCGGCGGTAAATAACCAGCTGAGACTGTCCATATAATTGCTGTTGCGATAAAATGATCATTTCAAAGGTGTGCCCTCCCCCCCTTCTGGAATTTAAAAAGGTACCTCCTCCCGAAAAAAAAAAAAATATTTGGCTACGCCCCTGCCGTGTGCTGAAACTGAACTGCACCGTGATTATGAGCCCTTCGACTGATTAGAACCCTTCGATTAGAGCCCTTCGACTGATCTCATTTTTGGAAGGTGATGCCGAATGTAATGTTGGGTGAATTGAAACGCCAAGGTCTCGAACGCACGTGCAGCAGGTACAGACCCAACATTACTTGAAGTGAGCATCATCATCAGCAGCAGCTCCTGTGAAGCAGAAAAGTGAGTTCTTCAATCATACCAAACTTATTGTTGCCCAATTTTGCTAAAATTTGTTGATTGTCGCGTCATCTGTTGGCCAGTAAAATAGAAAATTAAACGCTCGTAGCAATAATGATGCCCCGCGCAACGTAAAATTATGTGCAAAAAACGTGAACAAAGGAAACTATCTGTTTTACATTGCTGCTCCCAGATGACGCGACAATCTGCAAGTAATTTTTTTGCAAACTTGGTTTTGGGTATGTGTTTGTTTTGTAACGTAGTTTCGCAACTAATATAATTGAAAAACTTTGACTGTGAGGATTTTTTATCATTTGTCTACGGTCAGCCTCAACTTGCTTCACGGAGCGCTGTGGCTAATGGAGCGTATACGTCCATGCGTTTGCGAAGCGCTGTGCGCGGTGGTTCTGAAAACAGGTATGACAGCTTTCTGCATCCTTTGTACGTAGCGCCGGTCGAAGAAGAACAGCAGTGGCCGAGAGGAGTGACCACAGCGGGAAAGAGCGATCGCGTAGAGGACTGTTGTCTGCCGAAGGAGAGGCCACTTCAGCAAAGGTGTGCAACAGGTCGCTTTTATCTTCCTCCCGGAGCTTGGCTAAAGCGCCGCGGACTCGTGTTTAGGAGAAGATGGCTCCGCGACTTCTGCTGCCGCCTTGAATCTGGATTTTGACGCGCGTTCTTCTTCGGAAGAGGCGTCACCGCATTCTTCCGTACCTCGGGTCACTCGACCGTCACGTCTACGCCGCCGTGTGCTTTCGCCATGAAGTGCTGCTTCGGCGAGAAACCGAAGACCTTTCACTGCAAGGTGGTACTGCTGGACGAAACTGAGCTCATACAGGAGATACAGGTGAGTGTTTCTCGTGATCGGCCCCGTAGTGTTTGCCCCTCCGTGTCACACAAGCATGATGATCTTGGTAGGACAGTTTCATTGCCAGAAACGTTTCACGACACCATCCGTCGCCCGCTCTAATTCTTCGCTGTAAACGCGTGTGACATGTCTCGAACGCTATGCATGCGCCGCACTGGATAAGATCGTCCTTTATTTTGGACAGGTCACACCAAAGCATGTGTTGAAATCCGTAAATTAATCTGACAGTATAGCAATCTTTTTAACGTAAACCGCAAACCTGAGTAACCCAAAAAAGGCGAAACAATGTCGTGTACTGTAGCCTGATTCTAAGTGACTTTACATACGCGTCAGCTTGTAAAACAGAAGCAGCGTGGCTTTTTAAGACAAAAACCGTAATAAAGGGAGCGACACGGACAAGCGCCGGCCTTCA